ATTAAGCAATGCATAAATACGTGATGCTGTTTTGTTCATAATTGTTTATGCAATTTACGAAATTATATTTGATTTATGTATATTAATTTAGACGTTATGCACGTTTTTTATGGACAGTTATTTCATTGCATTGACAATTTAATACGCTGTATTGTTTTGCTCATTGCGCCCTCTTGTGGCCTCGGGAGACAAGACAAAAGTTTCCATAAGACTTATTTAATCTGCATATAACACATAAGGAGATATTTGTTTAAATTTTATTTTGTGTTTGACTGTTAAAACAAAAAGAATATGTTTGTCTCAATAAATTGGGTAAATTAAAAACTGTTTTAAAAAAGGTTATAAAAATGTCAATAATTATCGATACAGAACGATGTGAAACATTATATCGTTGATACATTTTTTAGCTATATCGCCCAGCCCTAATATACACTACCTGTCAAATGTTTGTAATAATTAAGATTTCTTAACGTTTTTGAAAGAAGTCTCTTCTCTCACCAAGGCTGCAATTATTTGATCAAAAATACAGTAAAATCGATAATATTGTAAAGTATTTTTACAGTTTAAAATAACTGTTGCGAGTTTATATCTCACAATTCTGTGAAAAAAAGTCAGAATTGTGAGATAAAAAGTCGCAATTCCCTTTTTTTTTTTATTTATTTATTTTTATTCAGTGGCGGAAACGGGCTTCCATAGTTTCTGAATTGCGAGTTTATATCTCACAATTCTGTGAAAAAAAGTCAGAATTGTGAGATAAAAAGTCGCAATTCCCTTTTTTTTTTAATTTATTTTTTTTTATTCAGTGGCGGAAACGGGCTTCCATAGTTTCTATGTGAATATATGTTCAAATATAATTTATTTCTGTGATCAAAGCTGAATTTTCAGCATCATTACTCCAGTCTTCAGTGTCACATGATCTTCAGAAATCATTCTGATATGCTGACTTGCTTCTCTCTCTCTCTCTCTCTCTCTATATATATATATATATACACTAATCATTTGCCATTTTTGTAGCTTTTCAAGTTCTTAATTTTTTTAAATATAATTTTTTTTAAGGTTTACAGAATGATCATAAGGCTATCATGGTGGATATCGAGGAGGCACTTCATAATCTGCATGCAACAGCAAGGGTCAAACATGAGAAAGATGAGACAGAAATGGAAGTCACTGAGCCGACCGTGTCTCTGCCAGCCCCATTCGCACTGGTAGATGCCGTAACACAGGGCTCCCCTGCTTTTCAGGCCGTGAGTGTGTGCCCCACTTCTAACTTAAAAGTTAAAAAGCTTTGCTTGTAAATGAATATGCAACCTTAGATAGGTTGCAGCTTGTAAAAGCTTTCATGTTGACTTTAAGATCCTGTATATTTAAAATGATTACATTATACTGACGACATGTTAATTATGTTCTTCTAAGTTGCTGATTGCAAGGTTTATTTCATTTCATAGTAGTACTTAAGTCTATACAGAAACTGATGATGCAACTAGAGAGTTTAAAATAGATTTCTGTTCTCCTCTGTTTGTAGGGTTTGCGAGTCGGTGATGAGATTATAGAGTTTGGGTCCATAAATACACAAAACTTCAGGAATCTGCGTGACGTCGCTTCTGTTGTCCAACACAGTGAAGGGGTTTGTTGTACCTCCAAACTCTTTCCTTTCAGTTAAAACTGTAGCGCATTCACTTATTCTTTTGAATACGTTGCATTCCTGATCATATACTACATGATTCAGTTTAATTTTGTCTTTGTTAATTTCTGTTTACTTTAGAAATCCATACGTGTTGGAGTAATTCGAAGTGGACAAGAAGAACATCTTAATTTGACTCCGAAGCAATGGTCTGGTAGAGGACTACTGGGGTAAGTAATGTCTTTATTGTATTTATTCAATTTAATTAGGAAAATGTAAAGGCTTCAAATAACTCTTTTTTCATTTTTATTCTTCTGTCAATAGGTGCAACTTAGTGCCTCTCCACAGATGACCAGTGAAAGGGCAAGGGTCTTTTGCACTAAATAAATTTGCAATGGGTTAACTTTAATTTTGCTTTTGCATTCATTGTAAAATTGAGTTAAGTAAATAAATGACCAAGGAGAGATGGCAGACCATTTAGTATCAGACTTTCGTAATCTTTCAGAAAGGATGAGCAGAGAATTTATTAGCAAGGTTTTTACTTACCTTCTTCTCCTTTTAAATTTCTTGCATCCATATGCAAAAGTTCTCAACATTTCTATGTTAAAACAGCTGAATGGTAAGAGCGGAGTCATTCTGAAGTGAGTGGGCTCTGAAAGGTTGCATAAGCTGCATACACTTTATGTTACAGTTTTATTAGAAGAACACCAGGGTGAGTAAATAATGTTTGAATTTTCATTTTTTGGGTGAACTATCCTTTTAATATGAGTGATAAACATAGTACAGGGTTTCAGTCTTTTCTTTTTCTTATGTGAAAATCGGATTAAAACTGACTTGGAAACATTTTACCATGCCTTCATTTTCTTCCTACTTCTCAAATGCCTTACAATTTCATATAAATATGAAATATTACATGCTTGAAACTATGATAAACCATCTTATTAGTCACTTGTCAAAACATTTGTAACAATCTAAAATGTAATTGTCAAACTAAAGCATTAAATTATAAATTGGCTTGCCATATAACATCTTATTTATAGAAATGAATGACTACACTGGGTTAGGGTTTTTACTTTTTATCCTGTAAATAACATATTTGAGTAATTTTGAGTTTTACATTTAAAATATTAAGTTTTGACTGCTCAAATTCAAATATATATCTACAAAGTTAGGCTATTTTGAATAGTAATGTATTAATTTCAGGTATCAAAAATACATTCTGGATATCTTTAATGATGAAAAGATTAAGATGTAATTAGAAAACAATTAGGGATTCAATATAAATTACAGTATGACAAGTCATAATTGGATTACAAATATCTTGACTTTTCATAATCGCTAGCAGGTATGTGGAATTGAAATTTCGACAAGTAAAATCTAATTTACGGCTACTGAAGCTTTAAATGACTAAACGGCTTGCCATAGACGGTTTTTTTTTTGTTGTTGTACGAACGTCACAAAAGGAAAATTCAGGCAAAGTCGCGAAGGAAGTGCGCAGGACTCGCAGAGCGAACTTCCCGGATGGAGTTTTGTCGCCATATTTGGTCGCCGGTAACGTTAGTATACGAGGATTTTAAGCTGCTGTTACTTTGCATCCGTTTGCACAAACAAACAGCGTCTCTTACCTTCACTTTTCCACCTCCTCCCGGTCCCCGGTAACCATGGCAGATCAAGAGCACTTGGTTTACCAGGCTAAACTAGCAGAACAAGCCGAGAGATACGATGGTGAGTTGATATTTTTGGCAAATTGTGTTGTCACGCATTTGAATTACAACAGAGAATGAACAAGAGGGATGTCGTATTACTGATAAAATTGTGTTTTGAACCCAAAAACGAAGCGTTATCCGTTCACGCGTCTCTGTCCAGGCGACATGGGAAGAAAAATCCAGGAGAGCTGTTGTCTGGAAAGGCCTAAACTAGCTCAACGCAACCTCTGCATTGTTATTAATGAACTAAAGTAAATGTTGATCTGTGCTCACGTTGCTAAAAGCTGTCTATGGATGGTTAATCTGATATTGTAACCGCTAACGTTACTAGAATTAGTTGCATTGCTGGAAACTTTGATCTGAGAGCATGCGATTCGAAGAATATGCAGCGTTTAAACACGCACTGAATGATACATTGTTTTCATTTCGCTACAAATGACCTGAATAAAAACAAATCTGACTGGGTCCAGATTTTAGGTGATGCAATAATGACTAGGCCGAATCCAGCTGTTCTTATTGAATGTGGGTTGATCAAATATATTGGATGTTTTTACTGTATCAGTGTTTTTATGGACACGTGTGGGGCAATGCATAGTGTTTAAATAAGTGTCATTAAGTATGACAGAGGGGATAATTAACAGTGCAATTTCGCACATTTTTAGAAACCTCTACAATTATGAACTGTACTTTTTTCATGGACTATTGAGAATGACACTTTGAAAAAAAGAGAAGTAGATGGATAAGGTTAATCCGTGTATCATTCGATCATTCGTTTTTTTGGTTTAATATCAAAAAATCCAAGTGAACGTCAATCAGTACTCAATATTAATTTAAACTGCATTTCTGCGCTTGACTGTAGGGTGTCTGTCTGCTTATTGAGTTTATTTAACCCATCGCAATTATTGCCATTGCATATCCTTTTGAGATATCAATTATGATCAATTTTAATAAAACACAAGATCTGTTGTTCTCCGGTTGTCAGTCAAAATGACGTTTAATTCCCGCCCACATGTAGAAATCAAATATTCAAGCTGTTTATTCATTTTGCCACCCATGAACGAAAAAGGAGCCGTTTTCTCATTTTTCTACTTTCAGTATTAAATAAAAAAACGAATGATCGAATGATACACGGATTAAGGTTGACCTATTAATTTGCTTTTAAAAGCTTCAAGTTTGAAGGTTTTTACAATGAATCTATATAGTTAGACAGATTTGTCATATAGACACTAACAAACCTGTAGCTGGATAGATACAAACATTTTAGCTTTGATACATTACCAAGTACAGCAGGCAACATGTAAATCTTGCCTGAAAAAGGGGGCGGGGAGCAGCAGCTCATTTGCATTTAAAGACACAGGTCCGAAAAACAGCGCGTTTCTGCTTCCACTCAAAATGATATAATAAATGATCTGTGGCGTATTTTGAGCTGAAATTTCACAGACACATTCTGGGTACACCAGAGACTTATATTACACATTGTAAAAAGGTGCATAATATGTCTCCTTTAAAGCAAGGCAAGGCTTTTTTTTTTTCAGTCTTACATGAAATTCTTAAAACACCCACAAGATGGCGAAATTAATCAGTGGATCCAATGCTACAAAACCGATATCCTATTATGAAAAAATGCTTAAATGTTGGGAAAACCACCAGTTATTGGTTGATCTCTGCTTATATAGGCTATACTTTAATGTTATTATGCACATCACAATATATGTAAAAAAAAAAGATCTGTCACTATTTTTGTGTCATTGAGACTTTAACAGTTAAACTAAATTTAGGAAGAAAAATGTCTTGAGCTAAATGAGAGTGTGCTTTTCTAAACCCTAGTATTAAACTAGCATCTGCTTCAAACATTAATGAAATCTGAACTTACTACTTTTGACATTAACTTTCTTGTTAAACCACTCAGGCATTCAATTTTATGTAGTACTAAATTTGTGGCTTTTTCCCTTTGCACTCCAGATCTTTGATGACTGGTTTGCTTTGTGTCATTAAGATGATTCTTCTCTGTGTTTCAGAAATGGTGGAGTCTATGAAGAGCGTTGCAGGAAAGGACACCGAGCTCACAGTAGAGGAGAGAAACCTGTTGTCGGTGGCGTATAAGAACGTGATTGGAGCTCGACGAGCCTCCTGGAGGATCATCAGCAGCATTGAGCAGAAAGAGGAGAGCAAGGGAGGAGAAGGCAAACTCAAAATGATCCGCGAATACAGACAAGCGGTGAGACTGCATGGAGACTAAACTCCTGAGCATCTGGAGTGAATTGGCATATTGTTTATATGAAAAAATAAACCTAAACCAGTGGTTATAATTTCTTACACTGTAATCATTTTGAGTGACCTTCACCAAAATTCAAGTGATTTTCAAAAAATTTGAGTGAAAATCATCAAAATCGCTGGCGGTGGCTGGCAACTTTTTTCAAAAATGCTGGCGGGGAAAGAGTTAATGTTCCTTTATGAAGTTTGACATGCTGAATATGAAAAGCACATTACTTTTTGTGTATCATTATTAATAGTGCTCAAGAAAAACAAAAAAATACATATTTTTACAACTTATACAAGCTGATCTGTTATTACTCGAGCATAAAAATGACATGGTACATGCATAATACTGAGCTATTCGTCCAAAACTTCAAAAGTGTTTGTTCGTTGTATGATTTTTGTCTTTTATGACCAGTCCCACAAGGTTCTGGAGTGTTCCAGAAAGCACTAGAATATTCCAGAATGTTACACAAACCTCTAGAATGTTCCCATCCTTGCAAAAGTTAGTAAACAAAGAAACGTACCTGTACCAAATCTGTAAAATCTGAAATCTACCAAAACCAATGTTTCATAATTAATGATAGAAGTTCTAAAATTGACCTGACCAAAATATTGATGCTACGTGAAAATAAATAGCACAATAATAATTAACACCACAGAATTACAGAAGAACCATACATTTAAGTGAAACAAATTTTTCCTTACATTATGTAACCGATTAATTAGCTGGTAGTTTTAAAAACACAATATTCATGTTTTAAACCTATTAATAAACATTTAAATAATAGCTTAATGCTTTTTCTTTTATAATACTTTAATACGTCAGTCCATAATTTGAAATGCCTCGAGCTGTGAGCTCTATGGCTCAGAGACGGTAATGTGTGCAGTAATCTAGATGTGCATGATGCCATTATTACTCTGTGGTTTCTCCTCTTACGTTTTGCAGGTTGAGAATGAGCTGAAATCTGTTTGCAATGACATACTGGATGTACTGGACAAACACCTCATTCCTGCAGCCAACACAGGAGAATCCAAAGTTTTCTACTACAAAATGTAGGTGTTTGACAAATCAAAGTGCGTGTGAGCATGATTAGTATGCTTCAAGGTATACATTTAATAATTATGCATGTTTCTTGGGAATCAAATCCATGACCTACATGAGGGAATCGTGCCATGCTCTACAGAAATAAAGCCAGTTGTCATGTATTTAACACACAGAACCTCGCCCATCTAAGAGACCTATAAAGTCCTAAATGCATGCATGTTCTTGTTTGCATTACTAAACATGTTATTGTGATTGCATTTACATGCATTTAGGACTTTATAAGTCCTTGGTGATTCATAAAATGCAAGTAAATGACTACCATGACTTTGAGAGTTAAAAAAACAAATGGTAACACAAAATTAATACCTGTGGCTCCTGGTGATATACTGAGATCTTATGAAGCGAAGCAATCAGTCTGTGCAAGAAACGGAACATTATATATAACATTATTACCTGAATCCAGAGCCTCAGGCAAACGGGGAAATACGATTCTTTTGGACAGTTCGTTTCAATGAACTGATTCACCAGTTTGTTTACATAATCATGCAGTGATGTAATGCATATGCATTTATATTATTAAAGCACACAGTAATGATGTAAAACGTGGATGTTTTGCATGTCTAAATCATAATAAACTAGTCTTCATCATCCCACCTTTTTATATAAACAATGAGAAACCATAAAAACTTTAATTTGGCCTCTTCATTCAATTGCTTTGTTCACGTCTGCGCATATCAGCGTCTCATCGGTCTTTGGTTCGAGTCGAACTGTTTCCTCAGTTCAGTGACTGTAGGAGTAACTGGAGCACTGAATCGGTTCATTCATCATAGGATCGGATATACACCAGTATTTTGGCTCATTTTGAAAAAGAACCGGTTCAAAAGAATGATTTGTTTGTGAACTGGACATTTTTGGGTGAGCTGTCCCTTTAAGTGCATAATGCTTTTTTTATTTTTTGTTTTCACAAAAAAAAAAAAACATTGGATAGTATGCATTTCAATATTCCAGCCAATAGTAGTCTGCTTTATTCATTATAGTGGTTTTGTGTATTTTTGAACACATTTCTGACAGCAAGAGCTTAGAATAGTAATTGTAGCTAATAAGAAGATAATGAGTCTTTTGACACACACTTGGTGTTTATTGTGTGTGTGTGTGTGTGTGTGTGTGTGTGTGTGCAGGAAGGGCGACTACCACAGGTACCTAGCAGAGTTTGCCACGGGTAATGACAGGAAGGAAGCAGCGGAGAACAGTTTGGTGGCGTATAAAGCTGCCAGTGACATTGCCATGATTGAGCTCCCGCCCACACATCCCATCCGGCTCGGCCTCGCTCTCAACTTCTCCGTCTTCTACTTCGAGATCCTTAATTCCCCCGACCGCGCCTGCAGGTTGGGCTACTTCTGTCCTCACTTAAACTGTGTAATGTCCCGTATTAATATGCACAGAAACCTATGGATGAGCAGTGACAATAGTTAATTGAATTATTTTTATTTTATTAATGTTTTATTATTTTAATACTTCATCCTGCAGCCCCTGGTTGATAAGCACAGAACCCCCTCTGATAAAGCCAGTCTGACTCTCCTCTCGCTCCTCCAACAGGTTGGCGAAGGCGGCGTTTGACGATGCGATAGCGGAGCTGGACACGCTGAGTGAGGACAGTTACAAGGACTCGACGCTCATCATGCAGCTGTTACGGGACAACCTGACGCTCTGGACCTCAGACACACAGGGAGACGGTGAGGCATGCGTGTCTTAAAGCAGCTGTAATAAAATAACTGTGCATTTCAGAACAAAGTTCTGTGCACTGCAAAAATCCGTTTCAAATCAAGCACTATTTGCCTTGTTTTTTTTTAGTAAAACAACTAAACTATAAGTTAACAGATTGGGGAAGGGACCAAAATAAGGCCACAAGCCATGTAATCCCAAATGCTGTAGTTTGAAATACAAAAAAAGATAGATTCAGTAAAATAACAAATTATTAAAGAACCTTTGATAACTTTAATGAAAAGGTTTTTTTTTTGGTTACTTTATTTTAAGGTGTCCTTGTTACAGTGTAATTATACATTTAAGTACAGAGTAATATTAATTAACTACATGTATTTACTATATGGTTTGGTTTAGGGTTACTTGCATGTAATTATGCATCATTTATTGTTATTATAATAGTAAGTACATGTAACAGATGTAACAAGGACACCTTAAAATAAAGTAACAAAAAAACAACAATTTTCATTAGTTATCAAAGGTTCTTTAATAATTTGAAATAAAGTGTTACCTTTTTTTAATCAAATTCAAAATGTTTTATTGTATTGTAATATTTCTACTCCTTTAAGGAAATTTTATTCAGTGGATACCCTTGAATAGGTAGTTAATTTTTTGTTAGAATTTTTAGGAAAAACAAGTCTTAAATGTATTTAATTTCATTTTCTATTTCTATAATGTAAAAGTATTATTATAATGTGCAATTTTTAATAATGCAAGTATGTTTTTATTGTGGAAAAAAAACTGGAATGGTGTTAAACAATTTATTTTAGTATTAAAAAAAAATCTTGGACTAAAAATATTGCATTGATCGACTGCAATTAAGTATAGCATTATTGCCAAATTGTTTTACTCTGTTGATGCTCTTCAAAAGGTTTTAATCAAATGGTACCTAAATATCTATTTTCTATTTCTATAATTTATAGTTTCTATAATTTTTTAAAACACGAATATGGTTTACGTTGTGAAAAAGTTACTGGTATAGTGATTAAAACAATTAAAAGTTAATTTAAAAAACATCTTTGTCTAGAAATGAATGCATTGTTTATCTATAAACATAGCATAAGTTACTTCAAATTTAATTTTAGAATGTTGGAAAAGTGGATATTAAATATCATTTAGTTTCTATTTCTATAATTTTCTTCGTGTTTCCATCATTTTTAATAACTCAACTATGGTTTTCGTCATGGAAAAAAGATACTGCCATGTATTAATCATGGTGTTAAAGATATGTATTAAATACAGTTATGTTTAATTAAAACAAAGTTTCTTGGGCGTGAATGTGAAGGATTGAAGAAAACCGAAACCCCTGCGGAAGTGTTAGTATTTGCGTCAGTCGTCATCCACAGACACGTCAGATGGCACTGACATGCTTTTGTATATTAATGATAAGAATAGTTCATTATGTAACACATTTGAACACATTAATATAGAATTTGTGGTCAAAAGCACACCGTCTATGCATTCAGCTTCAAGCGTGGCTCATTCAGTCAGAATGTATGATTTGTTTGATAAAAAAAGTCAACCGTCTTTGGTAATTGTTTTTTTTAAAAGGTTTCAATTTCTTTGTTCCAGCTAGAGAAATAGAGATTTTACTTTAATTTAGGTGAAATTATTTCTGTTATTAGATACACTGTCAAAAAGAAAAGAAAAAAAAAATTAGCTAGAGAAATAGAGATTTTACTTTAATTTAGGTGAAATTATTTCTGTTATTAGATACACTGTCAAAAAGAAAAAAAATTTTTTAAATATTTTTTATATTTATTATTTTTGTGTAATTTAGAGCATAAGCCTATTATTAAAAATGTTGTTATTATTTATTATTCTTATTTCAGAATTCTATACGTGTGCATTTATTGATGAATACTGAAAATGAATTATCTCAATGCAGTAACTCGTGCTGAATCATACACAATAAAACAAGGAGCGTGTATTATGTAGGGTCCATTCTGATTGATTGATAACTTTGAAGTGCCCTTTATAAGGCAAGATACATTTTACGTTTTGTCATGTCGTGTGGTCGATCAAACCTAAAGATCAAAAATCAAAATCCAACTTAATTAAGGGCCATGGGACAAAAGTAAATGTTGCATTATTTCCAACTATATTATATTAAAATGTATTAGTAATAACAACAACAATTTAACAAATTTATTTATTTTTGACATTCTTGAATCTAATTCACTAATATTGGTTTTTATAGTTCAAAGATAGACAGGTTAACTAATTGAAGCATATCTTCATTTCTAATTAATTAATTTCATGTTGTTTTCCTACTTGTTCACCACCTCTTGTAATAAGGCATGGTGCACCAAATCAAAGGTGATCATGGGCAGACTTTGGCCCACAGCCTGGTCAACCAGTTGTAAACCTGCTGGTTTATAGTATCTGTGGCTAGTTGCAGCATCTCACAGACGCACTTACTCAGAGCGTGTGTGCTGTGGTTTGACTTCAACTTTGTGTTTCAGGCTTAAAAACATGTAAGGCGTGGAGTCTTATAGTGAGCAGCCACTGTAATAACAAACACTCGTTCTTTTTCAGGTGAAGAACAAACTAAAACGGTGCTGCAAGATGCTGAGGATGAAAAGCAGTGAGATGTGACCGCCAACATGCTAAACCCCCTTCTCTCCAGCTGTCTCAGTGTCTCTCAGTCTCTCTCTCTCTCTCTGTGTCTCTCATGCATCCCTGTCTCTCAGGGAGGCTCATGGTGTCCTAGAGAAGAGATCAGATGCTGAATGCTGGTTCTGTCCATCACTTATCAGTCTTTCCTCTCGCTTCTTGTTTCATACCTTTGCTCTTAACCTATTTGACCATCTACACCAGTTTGGAATAATTAAGACTTTTAAATGTCAAAATGTGTTTTCCTGAGAAAAAACAAGATTTGGTTTTTAAAAAGCCTTTTTCCAAAAGGTACATCTGGAAAAAGGGGGGTCGTCTTATATTCGAGCCAATACGGTAAGTCTCTTCTGCTCACCAAGGCAGCGCTTATTTGTTCAAAAATACAGTAAAAACAGTGAAATATCATTACAATTTAAAACAGCTGTTTTCTATGTGAATATATGTTAAAATGTAATTTATTTCTGTGATCAAAGCTGAATTTTCAGCATCATTACTCCAGTCTTCATTGTCACATGATCCTTCAGAAATCATTCTAATATATGCTGATTTGCTGCTCAATTATTATTGATGGTGTATTACTGGTGCTCAAGGGCACATTAAATTGATCAAAAGTGACAGTACATATATTTATAATTTTGTAAAAGATTTTTTTTCTTCAAATAAATGCTGAAGAAATCTTAAAATATATTCAAATAGAAAACAATTATTTAAATTTGTAATAATATTTCATATCACTGCATTTTTCATCAAATAAATGCAGTCTTATTGAGCAGAAGAGATGTCTTCTTTCACAAACAATCCCAATTATTCCAAACTTTTGACCGGTAGTGTATATTTTTAGGGGGTTTTAGGGTTGTATTGTATTTTTTTTTTTTATCTTAAGTGTTTCACTTAGATCTTATATGATTACATGAGGCCAGAATGGAGAGTTTCCTCTGTAAGGTTTGGTTTTACTACCTGTTGCAAAATCCTTGAGAATCACGCTTTTATTACACGTGTGCATTTGCATATTTCTTCATCAGTGTTGTTCTGTCAGTTCTTGAGCTCAGTGGTCATTATTGGAGGCATTTATTCTTATTTTCTTGAGGAGTTGAAACTTGAGCTGTTTATCATAAATTCACCCTCACAAACATTTCCTCACAAAGCGAAGTGTTTTTTGGTTTTTTGGTCAGCAGGTTGTCTGTCTGTGGTATTGTGTGATGTGGTCTGTAACTATAATGCTTTGCAGGCTTTTCGGAAATGAATGCAACCCTCGCCTCATCGTTATTCAGAGGCTGCTGCTGCAGAAATATTGCTATAGAGCTATTTGTGTTTTAAAGGGAGGAAAAAACATTTCTCAAGATCAGATGCATTAGTTTTCCTTCAGTTGAGTATGAAGTGAAGCTCTAGTTAGGGGTTTTGGTGACACTTTACAATAAGGTTTTATTTGTTAATATCAGCACGAGTTAACAATGAACAATACTTAAACATTTACATTTAGTCATTCATTAATCGGAGTTCAATTTTAACACTTACTAATACATTTTTAAAATCAAGTTATAGTTAATGTGCTCGAATTAGCATGAATAAATAAACAATCGTTAAAAAAAAATGCTATTAAATTTGATTACACTATTTTAAGGTGTCCTAGTTACACTGTTATTATGCAATTAAGTACTGTTATATTAATTGACATGTATTTGCTATAGAATTTAAGGTTAGTTGCTTGTAATTATGCACAGTACTGTTATTGCGTACAGTATTGTGCAACAAGGAGACTGTAAAGTTAAGCAAGTTAACAAATATTCTGCTAATTTCTAGTTCATGTTAGTTAATACATTAACTAATGTTAACAAATGAGACTTTGTAAAGTGTTGCCAGGATTTCTTTGTGTGTCTACTCTGGGTCTGACTCTCTCTCTCTTCTGTCTGCATCCTCGTGTATTTCTTCTGTTTCTTCAGTACATGTAACTTGAATCTGATTTGTACTACTGCTAAATCTGCCTGAAGCCAACAAGCACCCGTCTACTCATGGAGACACAGCATGGGATCGACTCGACCTTCCAGATAAACCAAGACTAAATAAAAGAACTAATAAAACACTATCTTTACCTTTCTCTCTGTTTGAATTGATTTATTGGAGTCAAGGAGGTTCATTTGTAATGGCAGGAAAAAAATACTTGGTACACTGAAAAAAAAATATGGTGTAGAAACAGTTTTCACTCAGAATGCTTTAGTTTTTGTTCATATATGTGGAGGAGCATCTCCCAGCAGAGGCTAAATGACCCACGCTAACTAGCCAAACCTGAAACCTACAGAAGAGTAGGGTTGATAATGATATTAAAATGAACTTGTATTAGAATTGGCGACTTAAATTACTTTAGTAGTGTTGTTCTGCAGCCTGTTTCTTTAATGGATAGTTCACCCAAAAGTGAAATTGTAATTTATGAATTTTGTCTAAATGATTGCAGAAGAACTCCGTTTGTCCTGCACACAATTAAAGTCAATGGGGTCCAAAACAACACTGGACTTGGACTCCACTCACTTTTATTATGCAGACAGAAAAAAAGAGCTGCAACCCTGTAACTATCCCTATATCTTCTGCTCCATCTGACTGAGGGTCAGTAGGGGCGCTAGTGCATCTCTAATCTGTTGGTGCTAATGTCCTAAATGTGTGCAAAATGTCCAGAAGTTGATGCTAGATGCAGATGAACATTTCAGTCCCAAGATTTTGTCCTTACATTGCTCTTAAGACAAAATAGTTGAAAACAGTTCCTGCTGCTTCATATTTTTATGGAAACCATGATTTTTTTCAGGAGTCTCGGACTATTAGAAAGTTAAAACAGCATTTATTTGAAATATAAATATTTTGTAACTATTATAAATGTCTTTAATTTCACTTTTGCATTCTTTTGGATAAAAGTATTAATTTCTAATTTTAATAAATAAATGCATACATGCATACAAAACTTACCCCAAGCTTTAAAGTGGTAGTGTATCACAGAAGGCCTGTAGTGAACGTGTCCTCATCCAGTACCCAGCGCTTGTTTGAAAGACTGAAGTGTCTGAACACTGATGATTCCCAGAGCCGTGTTCATGTTCCTGTGTTGATCATCATCTGATCCAGGTGAGACACTGGCTGTCAGACCTCATAAAACATCTCTAATGTGTGTTGATGCTGTTGCTTAGCTTCATGTGCTTTCAAAACAGAGCTTCTCTTTCTGCTGTCACAGGCAAATGGCAGTGAAGTCGCAAGCCAAAAATAGGTTGCAGGTCATACATGGTGGCATTAACATAGTTAAGAAGACAACATCTTGAATTTAATTGATCTCATGATTACCATATTGTGTGAATGTGTTTTCATTTCGACCTCTATATTAAACAGGTTACAGCATTTACACTGGTAGCATGAGCTGTGCGGATTCACATGCAACGAAATGTTGGATTAAAGAGGTTATCATGGTACGAACAGATATTGGTAGAAACCGGAGCATTCCCTTTCGAACGTTCCCCATAGCTTTGTACGCTAATGGGGAAAGCATCCAATAGCACTGTACTATAAGCAAGTGCAGAACGAAGCTGCTCTGTGAGCCCAGCCCCGGAGCGCCCGTAATGAGGGCTCCTAAAAAGCATGAGCCAAATGTGAGAACCAAGCCAACAGGCTGGGGTCTGCATAACAAGACCTTCTCCACTTATATAGGAAATTAGGTAAATTAAGCTGACAAAAACCATGCCTGAAGGGCAGGGACATCCAGACAGCAAAGACCAGCCGGCTGCCGCACATATATCACCAATTGAAACTGCTGTACCAAGCCCAGGAGGAGGCCATTCCTCTGGTGGAGTGGGCCCTCACTCCGACAGAACACTGAAAGCCTGCTGAGGCGTAAGCCAAGGCTATAACGTCAAATATCCAGCGAGATAGTCTCTGCATTGTAACTGGCAGCCCTTTAGAGCGGCCTCCGAAGCAAACAGAGAGCTGCTCTGAGTGCCGAAATGGGCCAGAGTGCTCAACATACACTGAGAGCCTGAACCAGACAGAGTGGATTGGGACCCTGCTCATTCTCTGAATTAAGAACAGCTAGAAGGCTAATGACTTTGTGCTCTGAATGGAATGGAGAGCACTTTAGGCACATAGCCGTGTTTTGGTTTGACAACGACACTACAGTCATAAGGCCCAAACTCAAGGCATGAAGCACTGACCACTGGTCGTCCACTCCTTTGATCGATGCTTAAGCCAAAAGAAGGGAGGACTGGAGCGGCTCGAAGGGAGGACTATGGATAAGTCTCAGGTCGGCACAGTATGCGGACAAGGCAGATTCAATCTCCAAGCTGCCCTCAAAATATTAATGACAAGATCATATCTGCCGTCTGACTGGCCAGCCATGAGAGCATGATTCGCCGCGATGGCTTCCACATATTCTTTGAGTGTGGATGGGATACATCCCTTATCCAGCAGAAAGGTTAACAAAACAGAATGGGTCCTCATTCCGTGCTGCACACCAGTCAGAAAAATCTGACCACTTAAGGGTGTAGAGGCACTTCGTAGACAGGGCTCTAGTCTCCAAAATGGTATTAGTCACTCTCGTGGGGAGCTGTAAAGGCTCCCGTCGAGGGGCCAAACATGAAGGCTCCAGAGCTCGGGCCGGGGATACAAAATTATGCCTCTTGCTTGAGAGAGGAGGTCTGTCTCCAATGGTATCGGCCAGGAGGCTGCCGATATCAGCTGAAACAACTCGGGAATCATGTCTGATTCCTCCAGAGTGGGGCCATCAGGGCAGAGATGAGCAGCGAGCGCCTTCTTCCAGAGGGGGGAGCTTGCCATAACAGTTTTCTTCAGCGCGGTCAATGGGGGTGAGGGCAGCAGAAGTAGCAGTGTGAATGTGCACTGAATAGGGGGCACGGCACATCCTGGTGAGTTCATCATGAACTTCTGGGAAAAACGGGCCAGGTTTCTGGCGGGAGGAGATTCTGACGGCGTCTGGGCAGGTAACACTTGTCTAAGCAGCTGCAGACGGGCTCTTCCGGAGCTGACAAGTCTAAGTTTAGTTCCTCCACGGCCTTTGTGAGGATGCGAATCAACTCCCTGTCTATGCCAGCCCACGCTGAGTCTTTGAGAGGAAGGGAGCTGGGATCATCTACAGGACACGCTCATTCCTCTGCATCCGAGGCTGTCAATGATATAGAATGATTGGCAACAGCTTCCTCTTCTGATCCGCCGAATAAGACCAAGCCACCTTCTACAGACGAGGGGCGCTGATCCTCACCTGAGAATAACATCGGCGAATCAAAGTGCTGCGGGGAGAGTGAAGCACCTGGACCTGTGCCAGCATGAGATCACTAAAACCCGCCTTGGTGCCCAGGCATGCGACACTCTCACCATGCCCATCTGAGTCGTGCAGGGGTTCACGCTTGCGGCGCATCATTTGGAACAATGCCGCTAAGGAAATCGCTCTTAGGAAGAGCTCTTTTTCAGTCGTCGGATGGCCGCAGGGGAATGCCGTTCAGAGGCGTCCTTCCTCTGCCGGGGGCCTTCTACGGCGAGTAGCGGCTTTTCTTCGAGCTTCTTCGTCTTCTAGGCTTCTTTCTTCAGAGTCCAGCGGGGAGATAATTTTCACACCGAAGGAAAAAAATTCTGATGAATGGCACTCTGAGCTGACTTGTATAGCAGTCCGCTCCACCCCTTTTGGCGGGTTGAAGTGCCATTTGTTCGTGCAGCTACACAAACGTGAACAAATCAGACTTAAGTATCAGAGTAAACAAGAGTTTACCCCAAACAGGAGTTTACCCCCAGGAGAGACCGTTTGAAAGGGAAACTAATGGGGGGGCTAATGCTATTTCACGCATGTTGAGTTATTTACACTGGTAAAGAGTTGGATTATCATGCTAAACATGTCCAAAGTTTCAAAAAGATTTTTTCTGTGACAACTACACTCCTTCCGGTTTCGTACAAGTTTCGTAAAGTTTTTTTTTTCTTCTCGAGGATGGCTCTTCATGACGTCATGAAGGGTGGAACTGTAGAGGAACTCCTGGAACTTCACCCGCGCACACATCGACCAGAGCGAGAACAAGAGCAGCCCATCAACGCACTTCATTCGGCAGCGCTGCAAGGGACTTGTTCGGGAAGAATGTCTCCAAAAAAGTGTGTTTTTGGTTGTAAGGGAAAGATAACCTTGTTCAGCTTCCCGAAGAAACCAACGTTACATAAACAGTGGATGCAGTTTGTATTTCCGGGGCAGCAACGGAGTTTTGCAAGTGTGTTTGTTGACAAACATTTTATGAACAAGGCCCAGTTCGAAGCTAATACTGAAAGATGGAGCGGTCCCAACTATAAAAGATCCCGTCATGATACGGAACTGCATACGGTAAGTGAAACAGCTTCAAATGTCTGTTTTGTTGGCAATCGGTGCTCAAGTGCTCATCACTCTTTAGCTCTGCCCACAGCGCACATCCAGGAGCTCGGCTGTTTTCGGGGATAATTGTAAAGCTGTATCTTTCTTTTATAAATATGATAAAACTAAAGATTATTTGGAGATATGGCTGCAAAACTACTTTATAGGTAATCAAGATTAACATCAGATTGTGTGAAACTGTGTGTGGTATGTCCCCTTTAACTATGTACTGACATGGCAAACTAAAACTAAAATAGAAGTTTCTAATTTAAGTTAAATAGAAGTTAAAAACTATATAGACATAAAAAATTACTCAAGACAACAAAAGTATTACAATTAAAATTAATACTGAAAATATGAAAAAAAAAAAACTAATTTAAACTATTAATAAAACCATAGTAGCTCGATGCTAAAACAACACTGGACAGAACCTCTCATTCTTATTATTGCACATTTTATTGCACACAAGAACAGACTTTTTTGGAAAAGCCATTAAGCATTTTATTTTCCCCTGTCCACCATAATTATTATTTAGTGGTGTTTTGTGATTGCACTAACCACTCAGCAAATATCATCTCAGTGTTATCACTTTACAGTATTATTTGAATTTCACAAAACAGAAGTCACAGAGTTCTCATCTACATACAAATTGGTATCACTATTGAAAATATACAACTGCATGCCTCTTCATTAAGTTGGAGGCCTAAAAAAAACAAAAAAAAACATTTAGTGATCTTTTAGCAGAGTATAGAGTATACATTATTGTTGGACTCATTGATTTCCCTCCAGTCTAACACACAACACTACTCACACCATATCCATTATGTAATAATATAGAAATATTAAAAACACTTCAACTAGAATTTATGAAACTAGGCAAATCGTAGTTAAATATAGACAGTAAATATTTTGTTTTGTGTACTTTCATACTTTATAACAGGTCTAAATCTATATAAATAACAAATAACCCTAAATATTCTCTCTATATTTTTTAATATTATGAACACTGTATTTTTAATTTGCAGCTATTAAAATGAACCATTTTAGGAGGAAGATCTGAAATTTCACTAAAAAAATTTGAACATGTGTAAAATATTCTATAACAACCAAAATACAATCACATTAAATTACTACTACAGGCAAACCTGTGTTGTTGTTTAAATATATATTCGTAAATCGCTAAAAGACCTATTATGTTTCTACAAATATTCCCACACGTACATGAATCAAAGACAAATCATCAGTCTCTATAAAGTATTGCTACAGTCAGTGCAAACAGATTAAGGACAGAATTACCACAACGTGATTACTTGGTCAATAACTACAGGAAATAAATAATATTATATAACCAGTGCTATTACATAATCTGATTACAAAATGAAGTACTTGTAATTAGAGTACAATTAAAAAATAAATAAAATAAAACAAACAAGTAATCAGAGTACAATTACTTTTACGATGGACTACATGCTGACATTTTACATTATTATCAGTCAACAGCAATAAATGAATTTGTAAATTACTGATGAGTTGTCTGTTTGGTTAACCATTATGTGATGTGTCATTCCAAATAATGTCTTATATCCACAGCAAAAGTTTAGTAAAATGTAATAGTCAGCTATACTAATTTACTTTTGTGTGCTGAATACTGATTGATTCTTAAATGGATAGTTCACCCAAAACTTAATCACAAAAGGAGATATTTTGAGTAATGGTAAGCAAATACTTTTGGAGACCATTGACTGTCACTGAATGGACAAAACAATGACTCAAACTATTTTCTTTTATGTTCCACCAAAGAAAGTAAGTCATACAGGTTTGGTTCGTACGTCATACAGGGTGAGTAAATAATGACAGAAATTTCATTTTTGGGTGAACTAGCTCTTTAATTCACAAATTAGTGATTGGATTTTCATCAGAACATGCAATAATTAAAGAAACAATTTAAGGCTATTTGTGTTGTTGTGTGTGCAGTAGTTTAAGGAATATGTTCCTTTTTGGTCTTTTTTGTATTTTGCCAGAACAATACAATATAATAATGCTCTCTGGAGAAAGCAATATTATGGATAGAGGGCTCATATTTTAGCTAGAAGCAACGGTTTGAAGATAAAAACGTCTTGATGGATTTGTTTCTTACATACACGCAGCTTTTGGCTTCTCAAGATATTAACTGATGGACTGGAGTGGTATGGATTGCTTGTGGATTATTGTGATGTTTTTATCAGCTGTTTGGACTCTCATTCTGACGGCACCCATTCACTGCAGAGGATCCATTGGTGAACAAGTGATGAAATGCTACAAATCTGATAATGAAATACACCGCATACATAGGCTGCAACATTGTGAACGCAGACTGGCAGAGTAATGCAAACTGTGAAACGTCCCAGTGCTGTTATACTCTCTATTGGTGCTCTTGCAATGCAGCTCAGCCAATCAGAACACAGCAAGAGGACTACCCTTGTAAAAAAAAAAAGATGTAAAGAAGAAATTGTTTTCAGTGTGCATTTGTAGTGTACTTCAAATCTTAAAAGCATATTTTTGGAAAAACTGCTTGCAGATAATATAATATTAGTGAAATAAAAGGCCACTCAAGTTACTTAAAGATTGACACTTTCATGACTGTTTCTGGACACACTTAAGTACACTTTTAAAAAGTGACTGTAATAATGACAAATTTACTTTTAAATTACTGTTTTAATAATCTTTTGTTGTATTTTAAAGTACCCAATATATATATATATATATATATATATATATATATATATATTCAATGTACTAGATTGCAACTTCATCATTATAAATGTGTAATTACAAATATATTTAAATACTTCACACTGCAACCATATTTTAAAGACATAATTCTGAAATTACATATAAAGATGTGCTTAAGTAATACTTAAGCAGGTCAAAAACACTCTAAATTTCAGCTAATTGCATTTAAAATAAATTTTAACTGCAACACAGTTTCATTAATTGCAAATAACATTCAATTAAGTGTCCAAAAACATTACATTCAGTTCACACTTAAGTATATTAAAGTATGTTACTTCCATAATAAGTACTCTTTTTAAAAGTGTACTAAAATGTACTTATTTTTCACAAGGGTAAAACATGCCAAGAAGAATTACTGAAGTCATAAGCAGCTAAACAGTGTCTGACTGTAATTTTTCAGTGTTCTTGTAAGTCATCAGCATCCTGGGTTGACTGAAGACAGAAATCATTATATTATACAGTAAACCTTCCAGCTTGAAGCAGTGCTTAATTAGTCATTCAAAAACCTTATCCATTCTTGCTGTGGACAGAACAATGGACTGACTGGATCCTGAAAACCATTCTGAGGTTGCTGCTGTAGAGCACAAAATTTCCTCTTGCTGCTACACTGTACGCAGGCATGAAATCAGCCAAGATTTAGTACCTGATCTACAGTAAAAGCACTATAATAATGAAACCAAAACAAGAACGCACCGAAGAGTGACACCTCTAGAGCTGACCGAAGAGGATGGAGCAGAGCAGAAAGATGGAGTAAAGAAGCATGAGACCAAGACCTAGTCTCCGATCCAGCTTCCAGCCATTCAGATGCACACTCAGGACCTACAAAACACACATACACACAGAGTCAACATGGACACTAACAGCATTGTGTATGTGTGTAATCAGGGTGCGATTGGGGGGATTTAATTGCCTATACATTTCAAATCACTCTTTCTGGTCATTCATTTTTATTCCTGCTGCTGGTCAGACAGTAGATGGTGATGTATGTTTTCCTACCGGCATATTAAAACATGTCTTACAGATTTGTAAGGGTGGAATGTGAGTAATCAGATTAATATTATGCTACAATTTTATTTAGGTGTAATGTTTATAAATGGCAAGTCAACAGTTTTACTAGCTATTGCCATCATCCACGGCAAGTTCCCTATGGATACTTCACTCGTACTGCGTCTGTTAAGACGCTATAGGGAAAAACTCATTTTTCTCCGATAACTGAAGCCTTTTCAATAATGCAGTGTAACTGCACGGCCATTGGTTCGTGCAGTGAATTAAAAACGAACCAATGGCTCGGCAGCTGAGCTGCACAAGCCTATGGCAACGAAGGCCGCCAGAGCCTGCCAGAATGGGTGGGGCCGTCTGGCTATATAATTGGGCATTTTGCCATAGGATCCTCAGATTTCTTCTCCTTCAGCGACGACTGCAAGATCTTCGCTCTACGAGACTCAAGCCTTCGCCATGAACAAGCCTCGCAGCCAATCAAGACCCCTTCCTGCTCAGCTGACTTCGCCACTCCCCACCCACCTTCAGCGTCTGCAGCAGCTGTCGTCTTCCGGTCCCCTGCTGCCATCCGGCGATTTCTATCAGAGCAAATTTCTAAGAGCAAATTTTCTCTCGCCGTTGTTGCAAATGCCGTGCCGTTACTGCCGCTGACGGTCACGGCGAGTGCGTTTTGGCTTGGGTGCCGCCCATGCTGAAGCTGCACTCACTGAGACGTCATGTCCTCATTGCGAGGATATGAGTCTCGCCTCTCTGCGCTCGTGGATAGCTTTCTTTTCAGAAAGCGACTCCACCCCTCACGCCCTCCCGCTTGCTTCCTCCCAGGAGCCTGTGAGCAAAAAGTAGCGGGGCAGAGGAACTCGGGTGCTCGGTGACGAGTGAGCCCACGCCGGCTGAGCCCCCGTGTGCCTCACTATCTCCACATAGAGAGGTTCTTCCCGTCCTCTTCTCTCACCCGGACCAGCGTCCACTATCTGGTCTTGTTCGGTGGGAGCGAGTGTGACGTCATGGACGACAGCATGTCTCTGGCGGCTTCAGATGCAAAGGAGCTGTCGGGCTCGTCTCACGACCCCGCCCCCTGCCATCAGAAGAGCCCAGCGCAACCAGCACTGGCATGGATGCCGAACTGTTCCACATCCTGTCTAAAGCTGTGGAGAAGCTGGGTTTGGAGTGGCCTCCGCCAGATAAGCCCACCCACAGCCACCTGGATGAGTAGTTCTTGCCGGGGAGCCGTCAAGCCCCTCGACAACGAGCTTCACCATTCTTCCCAGAGGTCCATGACGAGATCACCAGATCTTGGTGCACTCCCTACTCGGCCCGCCTACGTGCCTCCTCTTCGTCCGCCCTAACATCGGTCGACGGCACCGTAGAAAAAGGGTACGACAGACCGCCTCCCCTGGATAAGTCAGTGGCCGTGCATCTCTGCCCGCCCACGGCCATTGGCTGGAAGGCAAAGGTCACCCACCCATCCAAGCCATGTAGGACGACTTCAGCTCTCGCTGGACAAGCCTATTCGACAGCTGGACAAGCGGCCTCGGCGCTTCACTCCATGGCGGTCCTCCAGGTCTTTCAGGCCAAACTCCTCCGCTGCATGGAGGAATCCGGCCCAGACCCGGCAGCTTTTAAGGAGCTGTGCAGCGCAACCGACCTGGCTTTGCGTGCCACCAAGATTACGGCTCAGGCGATCGGTAGATCCATGGCCAGCCTAGTGGTGCTCGAGCGCCACCTATGGTTGACCCTTACGGAGATCAAGGATGTGGATAAGGTCCCCTTCCTCGACTCCCCGGTCTCCCCCACTGGCCTGTTTGGTCCTGCGGTCGAGGGTTTCGCCAAACGGTTCACTGCTGCACAGAAGTCGTCCCAGGCAATGCGACACTTCTTGCCAAAGCGCTCCAGTTCTGCAGCTGCTTCCAGGCGCCCCAAGACGGCGCCGACTCAGCATCCCGCGAAGCCCGCACCTCCAGCGCCACTAGCTTTTAAGCCTGAGCCCCGTCATCGCTCCCGCTCGGCCAGATGCTACCCATTCCCTAAACGCCAGGGACCCTGGCCCAAGATAGCGCTGGACCCGGCGCCTCAGGCGTCATCCTGATCTGCGGTACAGGAAGAGGAAGGGGCCAAGTCTCGCCACAGCCAGACCACCCCCCAAGCAGCCTCTGTTGTGCCTCCAAGCACCCCGACCAAATATGGTGTATGTTCTTGTATGTAGTGATTATGGGTAGGCATTACTCACCGTGAGGAAGACTGATGCAAGCAGCAGGATGACAGAATAGACCAGGCCTTTATTATTGATGAATACCTGACAAAAGACAGAGAGCAGTCAGAGGAAAGCATCAGCAGGAACACTGCATCTGCACTAGACGAACAGTAAAATAAGTCAAACGCTCACTGCTGATCCATGATCTACTACTAGCGTCCTCAGAGCCCAGGGGAAGCCCAGTCCCAACAGGATGTCAAAGATATTGCTGCCTATGGAGTTCGACACTGCCATGTCCCCCATTCCTGAGACACAAAATACAACCAGAATGTAATGCATTTTACAAATATAATGCTAAAACAAGCTAGTAACATGTTGAAAGAAACATCAAACTGTTGAAACATGCTAGCAACATGCTTAAACATGCTGAAATGCTAGCAATGTTCAAAAACATGTTAGCAATGTGTTAAAACAGGCTAGCAAAATTCTAAAACGTTAGCAATGTTCTTAAACATGCTAGCAACATGTTAAAACATGCTGTAAAACTGCTTAAACATGTTAGCAACATTCTAAAACAATGCGATCAAAATGCTAACAACATTCTAAGATAAACTAACTGCATAAAACATGCTAGCAATCTATCGACTATCTGGCCTTAAAACCTTCAAAATTCTACCTTTTTAAAGTACTTTAAACAGTTTAAAATTTAAAACCTTTAAACTTAATCTTCAAACTTCAACCCCCGGTTTCACAGACAAGGCTTAAGCTTAGTCCCAGACTAAAATGTAAGTCTGAGCTGCTTCAAAATTACTTAAATGTCCTAATTGAACTATGGCCTAATCCTGGCTTAGTCTAAACCCTGTCTGTGAAACCAGGGCCCAGATTTTAAAACTACTTTAAACGTTTCGCCAGGCTTTCTCAAGCCAACACCAAAGTTTGTCTTGACATTTTTTTTTATAATCTAGTTTAAACGAATCATGAATGAAATAACATGAATTTCTTTGAGTTTCATTTATTTTAATTCTCTGTCCTTAATTTTGCATCCTTTCTGCTACCTCAGGTCAGATTCAGACATTGAATTAGAATTTCAAAGACTTTCTTTGTATTAGGTAACAAATATGATATTAAAGATAATAAAAGCATGCATACAAACAATTTATTGTGCATATAAAGGTTACACACCTTGGCGGGCGACGATGAGGCTCGCCATGCAGTCGGGTACACTAGTGCCAGCAGCCAGGAAAGTGATTCCCATGATGTAATCAGGAATACCAAGTGTGTAGCTGATGATGGTGACCTGCAAAACACGCCACATAATGACAAAAATCAGCATAATTGACCAACTAATGGAATGAGAAGAGAGTAAAGATATGGTATATTTGGTACAAATATCGTATATTTAATACAAATGTCTATTTTTGATCTTTCCTTACCATCCACACCATGAGGTAGGAAAAAATAGCAATCCAAATAGTTGAAGCAATGAAGGTGACCATGAACCAGCGATGCCAACGCGGCAAAACACAGTTAGGCACTGTGTAATACAGCAGAACAGCCAGCGGCCAGGACACAAGCCACTTCAGACGCGCTTAACTGATGGACTGGAGTGGTGTGGATTACTTATGGATTATTGTGATGTTTTTATCAGCTGTTTGGACTCTCATTCTGACGGCACCCATTCACTGCAGAGGATCCACTGGTGAGCAAGTGATGTAATGCTACATTTCTCCAAATCTGTTCCCATGAAGAAACAAACTCATCTACATCTTGGATGGCCATTTTCATTTTTGGGTTTAACTCTTCCTTTAATGTGAAGCAGCTTTAAAATAATCTGTATTGTATGAAGCACTATATAAATAAATGTGACTCAATTTGACTTGACATTACATACAGTTATATACATGTTAGATATATGTAACTAAGATTCTCTAGGCCTACCAAAAGCTGCAAAATAAACCAATAACGGAAACTTTCTGCATGCTATTAACAGTAATTATTTGAATTTGATCTGGTTTCATGCACTAACCAGGAAAATGGAGAGGTTTGAACATTTCGTCCCCGTCCCCGTCCTCATCCTCTTCTTCAGGCTGAGAGTTTTCCACCTCCACCTTCACTCCTTTCTTACCATCCGTCGTTTGTGTGTCCTCAGGTGTCTGCTGTGCTTCAAGACTTCCTCCGTTTACTATCCCTCTAGAGCCGAATGTCTTCACTGAGGTCCTGCTCATCTTATCCTCCCGGAGCAGTCTCTGTCTCTGAAATGAGCAAAGGAAAAGAGGAATTGACATTCTGGTGTGTCATTAGTGTCAGTGCCATTTGCCATCATACAGGGTTATTAAAAATCAAATTTTTAACTGAATTAGTAGTATCCTGTAAAACTTGCTCCAATAATGTTTCATTCATAACTTAAAAAATATTAGTGTACTTACAAGTTTTGTGACTAAAAACTACATTATTAATTTTGACAAACTGTCCTATTTGTTCTATATGATATATAGAACATATGATACGCATGATAAAAACAATTTATTAGACATTTTTGTCTTCAGTACTATCAAAACAATTAACATCCATCAAGTTAAACCGAGATTTTGTAAACCAGCACAACAAATGTCTTCCACATTATTTTTATATATCTGAAAATAATCTAAAAATAATAGATTTTTATTACAACACTCAAAAAAAAATCACTTGCTAGTAAATTTCGCAATTAATTACAAAGAAACAGCAAGTAATACTGAATTAAACATGAAGTAGAAAGACTCAAATATAAGTATTTTTTCATAAAACGTACTCTAATAATGTTAATAATCATGCACCCTCTACTACCTTAATTCAATTGAATCGGAATTTAAAGGATATTCTCTGTATTATGTAACATTAAATAATAATAATAATTAAAAATAAAAGAGTGATGTTGGAGTTCACCTCACTGATGAGCATGCGTCCGGCCATAGTGAGACGGGTGCGTGGAGAGAAATGCGGTGTGATCATGAGACGCAGTCCAGCCTCTGGGAATGAGAGCTGGTGTGGCCTCAAGATGAGCAGCTCATCCACCATCACCACTGGAGACTCCTGTCCTGAACCTGCTGGAGCTGAGAACAAATCCAAAAACCGCTTCTACTTCAGGACCCAGATTCTACACATGTTACAAGAACCAATGCATTTCATGCAAAATCAAAGCAATTCAAAACATGCATGCATGAGTACCTTTCCTCAGCAGCACTACGGAGGTGTTGCCGTTTGTTCCCGCTTCATCAGCCTCTTTATCTCTGGACATTTGTCTCCTGACACAACATTGGCCCGGACTGCCACATGATCTCTGGACAAAGCTGGCGATCTGACTGTTAAACCTGCCAAAGAGATTAGTGCTAAATATTTTTTTCACGCCTTTTGGAAGACGGTGCACTATTTCATGCTTTTCATCCTCAGAAAGATTTTTCTTCCTCCCCATATTGCATGAAAACTGTGTGTTAATGATGTGGAACAACCTCAAGTAGGTAAAGTAGGTTTTCCATTTACTTAAGAAGACCTGGTAAACTATTTAACACACCTGTTTGAGACTGATACCAGTTATCTGAAGACATGATAAATAAAACATACAAACACCTTCTTTAAAATACAAAAATCTGAATGCTTGTTTTCAATTGCAATTAATCGTTTGATACAATGCACTTATTGTGTAGATACATGTTTTTACATTGTACTTATATTTAAAAATACCTTTCTTTAATTACTTATGCAATTAATTTATTCATTTACATATATAGTTACACTGTCAACCCTACCCCTTAAACCTAACTAGACCACTACACCTGTCCCTTAACTTACCAATATCCCACCCCAACAGCAGAAACAGTGATTTGCAATACAGCACGAATGCAATAAGTACACTGTACAAAACAATTCATTATTTTTAATGTAAGTACACAGTTGTTAAAGACACCTAATATAAAGTGGGACCAAATAAGATGGCACACACACACACACACACACACACACTGTACATACATACAATAATTTTAGCACCCTCTAGTGGGACAGTTTTTTTTTTTATTATCAGTATATATCTGTGATTTGTGTTTCTTAAGCAACCCTTAATCACATTGCTTGTAAGTATTCAGTGCTAAAACATTATATAAACTGTGTAAGAGCATTATTTTTATTTTATAAAATGTTTATTCTTGTTCATCTTTCTGAATTTAATTACATATTTTCAGCGCTTATCAGTATTGCATCCTTTTAATAAAGAAATTATAATTCATTGTCAATTATTCATAATATATATTTTGAATGTATCAATAAATGTATTATTATACATTCACAGTTGACTTATATAAACTTCAAAAGCTTCTTCCAGGGTTTTTGGGTCGCTGTTTCTTTTTAAGGCATCTGCTGGCGACATAAAGCACACCAGCATCCAAAACACAACATATTCTTCATCTTTTCAACAGGGCTGTTGTATCTGTATGGGATAAATGTATAATATCTTGAATTATCAACGTCTCTGTGACAAGACAAGCTTCGGCTTCCCTCCTCCAACAAAACCAAGAGGAGGGATGTTTATCTAAGGCTCAAACAGCTCAAGCCTTCCCAAATGGCCTTAAAAGGTGCTTAATGTAGCTTATTGTCATGTAGAAGATTTCGCTCTTATCTCTCTTGAAGCTGTTTTGTCTCTACAACACTGTTACTCATCAGCTCTCCTTTCCAAACAATACATGAAACGTGCTGCTCTCTCTCATACACATGCAAGAGGTGGCGTGCATTTGCAATCACAAAGCAATAAAGAGAAGCTTGAACTGATATGACTGAAGCAATGGGGAGGTCTGTGTAAATGTATAGCTTCAAGACATTTTGGTCTGGGCTATTATTTGATCTTGAAGATGATTTTCAAACTCTTCGAAATTTCAATTTTAGAGTAAAACTCCCAGGGCTGCGTTTCCCAAAAGCATCGCAAGCTTAAGTTGATCGTAGCTCCATTGGTTTCAATGGACAGTAACCAATCTGGCTTCAAAAGTGGCCACTCAATTGAGACTGCCCTGCTCTCGGTTACTGAAGCCCTGAGACTGGCAAGAGCAGCTTCCAAATCCTCAGTACTCATCTTGCTCTAAGACTTGACCATCTAGGGAGTTTTTCCTTAACACATTAGCCTTCAGCCTTTAGTTTTCAGGCACAAATTTAAGTAACATTGCTTTGAAACACAGTATGTATTGTTAAAAGTGCTATGCTAATAAAACTGACTCAACAAATGTCTTTTTATGAACATATTATGGGTTCTCTCCTGTTGTAAAGTATTTTAGTAATAGTACTTAATTACTCTAATTAAGCATATTTTTTACTTTAATTTTTTCAACTGAATACTTATACATTTCAAAGGTAATAATAATAATAATAATAATTAAATTATTTTTATTCACTTAGGAGTATGACATGTTTTTAAATCCCTTGAAAATAGTACACTTTAGCATACTTTTAAACTTTAAGCATACTTTAAGTGTACTTATTATAACATACTTTGAAAGTGCAAACTGGATGTAAATGTTTTTGAACACTTAATTGCATGTTAATTGCAATTAAATGGAAATGTTTTATAGATTAGATTAAATGCAATTAGCTATGTTTTTGACCCACTTAAGTACATCATTATATGCAATTTCATGATTATTTCTGTTGTCTTTGAAATATGAAATTTAACAAACTTAATCTGACATCATTACAAAGGCCACTTTTTAAAAAGTGTGTTAAGAAACATTAAAGTGCCACTTAAGTGGCCTTTTATTTTCTTAATCATACTGTATATAATCTGCAAGTACAGTTTTTTTTAAATTTTTTCAACTGAATACTTATACATTTCAAAGGTAATAATAATAATAATAATAATTAAATTATTTTTATTCACTTAGGAGTATGACATGTTTTTAAATCCCTTGAAAATAGTACACTTTAGCATACTTTTAAACTTTAAGCATACTTTAAGTGTACTTATTATAACATACTTTGAAAGTGCAAACTGGATGTAAATGTTTTTGAACACTTAATTGCATGTTAATTGCAATTAAATGGAAATGTTTTATAGATTAGATTAAATGCAATTAGCTATGTTTTTGACCACTTAAGTACATCATTATATGCAATTTCATGATTATTTCTGTTGTCTTTGAAATATGAAATTCAACAAACTTAATCTGACATCATTACAAAGGCCACTTTTTAAAAAGTGTGTTAAGAAACATTAAAGTGCCACTTAAGTGGAGATAGATAGATAGATAGATAGATAGATAGATAGAGCATTAGAACAATAGATAGATAGACTGATAGACTGATAGATAGACAGACGGACGGACGGATAGATAGATAGATAGATAGATAGAGCATTAGAACAATATATAGATAGATAGATAGATAGATAGATATAGCATTAGAACAATATATAGATAGATAGATAGATAGAACGTTAGAACAATATGTCTGTCTGTCTATCTATCTATCTATCTGTCTGTCTGTCTGTCTGTCTGTCTCTCTGTCTGTCTGTCTGTCTACGTATCTATCTATTGTTCTAACGCTCTATCTATCTATCTATCTATCTATCTATCTATATAGAACAATAGATAGATAGATAGATAGATAGATAGATAGTAGACAGACAGAGAGACAGACAGACAGACAGACAGATAGATAAAGCATTAGAACAATAGATAGATAGATAGATAGATAGATAGATATGTCTACCTGACGGGCAAAGATGCCACACACTCCAATGATGACCAGTATGTTGAAGACAGCCGACCCAACAATGGTGCCAACGCCGACATCTCCCTTCGTGATGAACACACCTGCCAGACAAGCAAGTGAACAATGGTCATATATGCGCTGGAGTCAAAATCGCATTGATCATTTAACTAATTTCACATTTTACTGTGTGGTTTCAATTTTGATATCAGAGGGCTTGGTCAAATATATTAATATTCATCCATGAAATGCACAGTTTGGCCATTTAACCCTATGAATATTTCTGTATCATGTTTGATACACAAATCTCTAAATATCTAAATTATTGTCATGATCAAAACACAATCTACTGCATGCCTTCTGTTGTCTGATTGATAGTTCATGCTTTTAAGCAAGTAAAAGGCCTGTTAGTAAAATTGTACAAAGGTCCACCTTCAGCTTATGCTTCACATGTCTTTTTGCGGTGAAATCTTTACTGATTTGTATAAAGTAAACATTAGTATAACTTTTATATTGTCAGTAATATTATAAGATGGGCACTTACTGGACTGCTGCAGCTTAGCTTTACTTAATTATGAGCTTGTAACACTCCAAAGAGAAAGGAAAAAATGAAATTGCATCATATGACCCCTTTAATTTTTTAGAAAAATCATGTTCGAAAGTAAGTCTCAAATATGAACCATCAAGCTTTTGAGAAACACTTACTGTATTTGTGCGTCTCTCAATCATCGCTGTATTGCATTGCATTATATCTTTTGAAACTAGAGATTTGATCATAAAACTAAGCATTCAAATATAGATAGACATACTATTGGGAGAAACTGATCTTTATATGCATTAAGTAGTCCACTATACTGTTATCAAGATCTCATTGATTTACTGTTCATTTACAAGCTTACTTGAGATGTACTGTAGTATATGCACATCTTTATTTTTTATTTTTTATAATTATATCCAGTGAAGTGGAGGTTCAAAAATTGTGCAAAAGCGAACTTACCAATTAAGGAAGTAAATAATTCTGGAGCTGAACTTCCTGCAGCCATGAAAGTTGCCCCGGCCACATCCTCACTCAGCTGCAGATTCTAATCAAGAGCATCATATAAATGATTAATCATGAGTACTAGCAATAATCTGCAACTAATAAAATGGTCCTTTTTGTCCTACAAATGCCATGTACTTCAACCAATCTTCCCTTGTGAAAAAGAAGTGCACTTAATTGTATCGATTGTGCACTTGTAGTGTACTTCAAAACTGAACAGTACACTTTTCAAAAACTGCACTTGCAGATAATATAATAATGAAATAAGTGTATTAAGAAACATAGTCATGAAAGTGTTTCTCTTTAAATTATCTTTTAAGTACACTTTCAAAAAGAAATATGTCATATTAAAAGTTTTACTTTAAAGTACTTTTTCAATCATGTTTTATTAATCTTTTGTCATGCTTTAAAGTACACTTTTTTTGATGTGTTGACTATTATGCAATTACATATAAAGATGTAATTAAGTGGGTCAAAAATCCCTCTTAAGTTCAGCTAATTGCATTTAACATACATTTAAATGATAATACCTTTTCATTTAATAGCAGTAAACAAGCAATTAAAACATTGCATTCAGTTCGCATTCAAGTAAATGAGAAAGTATCAAGTAGACATTACAAATTGTAGCTTTAGAAAGAAATATTTTATTTGATTCAACATCAAACTTATTACACATAAACATTTAGGCTGCAACAGCCTAACATAAACTATGGAACATAAAAGAAGATAATTTGAGAAACATCTCAGTATTTTTTGTTCATACAATGAAAGTCATTAGTAACTAAAACAGCTTTGTTATCAACAGTCTTCAAAATACCTTATTTTTTGTTCCACAGAAGAAAGGTTTGAAACAACATGAGGGTGAGTAAATGATAACAGAATTTTCATTTTTTGGGGGAACTATCCCTTTAATTAATTAATTTATTAATTTATTTATTTTTTAATGAAATGGTACTCTAAATAAGAAACTAAATCTCCCATCAGGTGGCGGTAAATGTCCTCATTCGATTTGTTCAAACGGCTGATTCATTCAGGAATAAAGTAAACGGCTCTCTTTATGTATTGACCTTTGAATCATTGGTTCACATGATTCGTTCAAAACGCGGATTTATTCAGAAACTAAACACTGCCGTGTTGCTCGGAGACACACAACAGTTCTGCTGTGGATTTAAAGGTAATATGTTCTCTGCAAAATTGAACAAAAACACATAATATTGTGTTAACACAATATTAACTTCTCATTTACAGAACTGTTGTATAAAATCACATTTAAACTCGTGATATTAACTATGACTTTTAACACGTTAATTAATTAGTTATATATATACATATTACATATATATATATATATATATATAATCTCAACAGCTCCTCGACAAATCATGAACAAAGCTAATTCCCTGAAGGAATGTGAACAAAGGGAATTTCCCAGAAGGAAACACCTTCCAATCTTGACATGTTAATTAACACTTTAGCCAGAGTTCCTGACACATAGCATCAGTGCTGACCCATGAGAGCAGGGAAACAAGGCTGTCATCACTTCATTTTCTGAAGGATAGCAAAAGTAACGTGCTGAAATGCCTGACAAGCATCTGCACTCACCTCTGAGATCTTCTCCAGCGACGGGACAAAATAATCATCGCAAACAATAGCCAGTGCGTAGAACATATAGACAACCTGCAACAAGAGGATAGATAGATAGATAGATAGATAGATAGATAGACAGATAGATAGATAGATAGATAGATAGATAGATGATAGAGCATTAGATAGAACGATAGATAGATAGAACGATAGATAGATAGATAGATAGATAGATAGATAGATAGATAGAACGATGGATGGATGGATGGATGGAGTGTCACTCACACAGAGCACATGCAGTAGTACGGCTCCTCTCTTGCGCTGCTCTTTGGTGAAGATGTCCTCAGGGAACTCATGAATTGCTAATGGGAGAACAGCACATGGTTTAGACATGGAATCATCAGAAACAATTGTGCCTGCTGGATTTTCAAAACCAATTTAGCTGAATGTGTGGTGGGCTAGTGGCATGTACGACACCAGAGAGGAATATGAACTTTAATGACGATAGAACTCAATTCTATTTATAGCAGCCCATCACTGTGCTACTGAAGCCTTCCTTCTCCAAACTCATATGAAAACATACATACTATAGACTCACTCTCTTGATTATGTTACCCAGTAATTTGTGCCTAAACATGAGTTTTAGAAGAGATTTCTCAACTGGAATCAAAAGTAGATTTCAATCTAAACTCAAATAATTCTCATCAACTTCTTGCAGTGTGAGAAATGGTTGAAAGATTACAGGTTTTTTTATTTATTCTTATTTTAAAGTGTAGTCTTATTTAAAATTACTTTATCATTTGAAATGACTTGGAAACAGAGTCACACAGAAAATGTTATAATGTTAAACGTTACAATTTCAAATTAAGTGAACAAGCTAACTGCGTATAATAAATGCAACTGAAACAAAATCTCATTAATCAGAAATAAAACAGAATCAAGCTATTAATTCCATTAATAAAATATCCATAGATTAAATAAGGATTCATAAACATATCTACATCTGTAAAGTTGTACATGAGTTACAATTTAGATGCTGCCAATACGTCAGTATTGTACGTTTTAGTGTTTATGTGAAAATTATACTCATTAGATGACATTGCTACTATCCACATTAATTTTATAGCTGTTTTTTATGGCTGTGTACATTTGTTTCTTTTTTTCTTTTTAATTATTCTAAGATATTTTAGAAAAGACAAGTTGAAGTTCTCAGTTGTGTTTCACTAAAGTACCATCACATCTCCTTTGACTCTGAGCAATAACATTTTCCACTAACAAAAGCAAACACGTGCACAGGGATCATTTTCTGTCTTGCCCTTTATATCCCAGACAGAACAACTTCACCCCTCCTTAGTTATTTACAATGGTTTCTTTTTCTTGAATTCTCTCATTTCTCGTCTTTTTTCCTTTGCTATCTCACTCTTTCTCTATCCTCCATCTCCTTTCCTTCCTCTTTTTTGTCATATTTCCATCCTCTTCTGTAGCCCAGTGTCAAAAGACATGTTTTGGCTCTATGTAAATCTCTGAATCGCGCTGAAAACCCATCGCCGATTAACATCCTGACGAGCTGCCTCAGAGAAGGCAGTTGCTATGGCGACGTCTTCCCTAGGGCAGTGAATTGTTGACGAGCAGCGGCTGGAAGCCAATGGCAACAGAGCGAAAGTGAGAAACTGAGTGGAGGACATATCTTTCCCATGGACTTGATTTAGGAAATATGGAAAAAAAGGAGGGACCAAAGAGATGACAAGCAACACAGAAGTGCAACTGCTAAAAATACTCCATTTTCCTCTCCCAGGGAGAACGTCTTGGGGTTCTGTGAGAAAGACGCACATATAAGACGGTGCTTGACTCCAACAAAAATAGAGAAAGTGTGTAAATAATTAATTACAGTTTTCAGTTGAAATGAACAGTAAAACATCAACAAAGTTAATTCCTTTTCTCACAAATTATGATTACAGGGGCATATTATCGATTCATAAATGCACAATTCTCTGTTATGACCTTTTAGCATAGTGCATGATTTGTAAAGTAACACATTTTGACATTTGCATCAAATAACCAGCTCCATATATATGGCTTTTCTGATGTAGTAAACTTGCTCAGTAGTGCACCCGGTACAGCATTAAACCCCTTGAATTAAAGCTTAAAATCTGCACTTCAATATCATCTTGATTGCTTTATTTTTAATTCTGTTCTGGTGGCATACAGAGCCGAAATTATGAAAATTGTGTCAGTGTTCAAATATATACAGACCTAACTGTATATAGGGGATCGCGGGGCACACAGTAACACAGGGTTAGTTGTAACACACGTGGTTTAAATATTTCCACACATGCTAGCATAAGACAATTTACAGTATTTACTAGTTACCATATCAACATTATATAGAGAAAAAAGTGCGCATCTTAAAACATCTTTTGTAGATATCGCTGAACATTTATTTTACCACAGTAAAATTACATTTCTGGCTTAAGTAAATTTTTCATCTCAGTTGTTATTATTCATTTAAAATGAGACAAGACATTAAAGCATTTTGGCTCGTTTATGTGGGCCGTCCCAAGCCTGGTTGCAACGTGTAAAATATATATATTTTATTGACAAAATATTTTAGTTTGTCTTGTATATTTTTTTCATGAGATCAGATAACGTTTGAAGCTGTCATATACAGTCATGTTACAGTATACCCCTCAGATGTTACAATGTACCCCACCTATAAGCACACAGCTAAAATAACGAAGGAGTGGCTTCACAACAACTCTGTGACTGTTCTTGAATGGCCCAGCCAGATCCCTGACTTAAACCCAATTGAGCATCTCTGGAGAGACCTAAAAATGGCTGTCCACCAACGTTTACCGTCCAACCTGACAGAACTGGAGAGGATTTGCAAGGAGGAATGGCAGAGGATCCCCAATTCCAGGTGTGAAAAACTTGTTGCATTTTTCCCAAAAAGACTCATGGCTGTATTAGATCAAGAGGGTGCTTCTACTAAATACTGAGCATTTTTCAGTTTTTCTTTTTTAATAAATCTGCAAAGATGTCAACAATTCTGTGTTTTTCTGTCAATATGGGGTGGTGTGTGTACATTAATGAGGAAAAAAAATTAACTTAAATGATTTTAGCAAATGGCTGCAATATAACAAAGAGTGAAAAATTTAAGGGGGTCTGAATACTTTCCGTACCCACTGTATATATATATATATATAGCAAAACAATTAATTATACTAGGTTTCAATCAATTTATCAATCTCATAATTTTATCAATACACAGCTAGTTTAGTCACCGGTATGTAGAATAAAGATTGGTTTTGGATGTGACTTCAACCAGACAGTAACAACACATTATTACAAATAACTCAAGATCTCGACATTTGATTGGCTCTAAATAAAAAGTAAAATGACGATAACAAACATATGCATTACTTTGAAATATTTCTCTCATGCTTTTGTCATTTATATTTTTGTTTTATATTTTATATTATAATATTTCTGTTATTTATATATTTCTAACCAACAAGAGGATTTATTTGGTCCATAGGCTTATTAGGGTCACTTTCCCTAAATACTGGGCAAATCATATCCAACTGAAAGCAATTACTTGTGCTTATGCCATGTGACTTTAATGCATCATGTCAGAAGAGGTTACACTCCAGGTCTGATTACCACACAGTTAAAAATGATGCAGCATGATTTGTTTTTTATTAGACTGCAGTGATTGTGCTCGTCTGTGAGGGATTTTCTAGCCACCTATACTCCTTCTGAAATGTACACAAAACATTTGGCCAGCACAAAGAACATCATGTGCAATGATTACTGACATGCCTAAAAATAGCTTCTTCCCTTTCCTTCTCATTATTTATTTCCTCCCACCTTTCTCTCTCGCCGCCTCTGTCTTTTTCATCTAAGCTCCCGCTCTCACACGGCTCTCCACAAACACACGCACTCCCAAAATTTAGCATTCAGTTGCCAAGCAACACAACCCTCAAAGGATTCTCGTCTGAAGACGGGGTCTGCCGTCTCGGCCTTTTTATAAGGAACAAAAACAATGGCGAGGACGAGAGAGAGACAGAAAAAAGAAATCAATCTCAGACTTATTACATAATCCCCTCTAATTATGGAAGAGCAGTTTAAGGAACTGCACCTATTAAACGTAATATTGCTCAGCTCTCACAGACAAGCAAAATACTGGAGATTTTGCCAACAGCATTTCATCCAATTGCAGATCTGACATTGAGAGCAGTCATTAACTCAGGGCATTTTTGCTAGCACTCTTTGAATTGATGAGTTACCTATTATATTCTCATACTCACAAAGTGAGACATGGCAAATGAAACATATGATTTAACCTTTAACAACAATTCTAACTTACTTGTATTTTAATATCAAAACACAATGTATAAAAACATAATAACACAAATTTTCACAGCAGTCATCTTTAAGTTTAACTCTTAACCCCCTGATGTTCATTTTTGACCAAAAAAATTTACTTAAAAAAATATATAATTTTTTAGATTTGTTCTACTTGCTATGTGAACATACACACACACACACACACACACACACACACACACACACACAAACACAAAAATCATGGACATGATTTGAAAAAGTTAAATGGTCCCGAAAAAAAAAAAGTCACACTTGTAGTCTTCGGATTTTCCCTTAGCACTGGAAACTAATGGAAAATAATTTCCTAGTGGAAACATATGGTACTGCGCCAAAACAAAATATTTTTTCTATGCTCAAAAAGTGGTCAACAGGTAATAAATGGACTACAGCATAAATATAATTTAGTATCATAAAATCCCCCAAAAATACAAATATATATATATATTAAATAAACATTATCAAACATTATGAAACTAAAATACAGTACATTTATTTAACTGAAAAAAAAAAAAAAAATTTTGACCGGCCAGTCGAGAAGTACCAGAGGGTTAAAAATTAAGCACTTTTTGAATTGCTTTAACACAGTAACAAAATTGTTTGACTTTTTAGCAATTACCCTTTCTACCCTCCACTATAAACCTGTAGTGAATGCTCTCTCTTGGATCAACTCTATGCTTCTTGTCTCAGTGTACTTCTTTAAAACATGACAAAAGATTATTAAAACATTTGACATTATTACAACGGCAACTTTTTAAGTGTGTTAAAAAACAGTCATGAAAGTGTCTTTCTTTAAAGGGGTCATCGGATGCAAAATTCACTTTTACATGTTGTTTGAACATAAATGCGTGTTTACACATCCACCGTACAATGATAAAAATCCACCCAGTGTTTTTTAAGAAATCCCCAATAATAATAATCACTTTCACAGATCAGGCTGCACTGAGATTCTTGGCAGAATGACATAGTTCTACACAAGCCGACATACTCCCGACATCCGAGCCGCTGAAGACGCAGTGCATTACCTTTGTTTTTGAAGGGAATGCACCCCCCATGCGTTTATGTTCGCGCAAATCATTTGTAATCCAGCTTCACCTACAGATGAAGTGAGTATAAAGTTTTTTTATGAATCTTTGCAAATCGTCTTTCCTAATAATGTGCTAGTTAGCAAGTTCCGCGGCTAAAGTTTACAGCTTCAGAGATTGGCTTGTCACCCCACAGAAGAGAGGGGCGGGGTCAGCAGAGCTCATTAGCATTTAAAGGGACTTGCACCGAAACGGCTGGCTGTGAGCAGAGCTGTTTTTGACAGGGTAAAAAGGGTGTTGTTTTACACTACCATTGAGACATTTTAACCAAAGTATGTTGTAGACTTTTCATTAAGACCCTAAAGAATCATATCAACTTGTGGAAAATGGGCATCCGATGACTCCTTTAAGTCACTTAAGTGGCCTTTTAGTTTATTAATATTATATTATCTGCAAGTACTTTTGTAAAACTATACTTTTAAGATTTGAAGTACACTACAAGTGCACATTCAGTAGAATTAGGTAGAATTATGTTTTTTGCATGTATGCGTATGGGAGTTTAGTAATGTGGAGAAACCTAATGTATTCAGGTTTTAATAATATTGAGTCAATAACTCATGTCATTTGTTCTAACACTCTTTGATTTGACCTATTCATTGGGGAAATCAGATCCTCTTTATGTTTTGGTTTTGGTTCGCTTGATCCCTGACATCCCTGACTGTGTATCTTCAATGCTTGAGTGTACAGGTCTAATTTTGGCAACTAACAGTGCCGCAAGCATCCATTCTGTGGTGTTCGCCATTATTTAAACTGCTTGCTGGGCTCTCAGATTAAAGCAGACAGACCATGCTGTGATCTCAGTTCTCAGTACTTTGTCTGCATAATACACAAACTGCAACAGAACTACAATAATAACAACAGAGGCATTTGTCTGAGATCAATGGCTGTAAGTGTTTTCCAGATGAGGCAGTAGAGCGTCTGTTCCTGACATCTGTTTATATTTGCTGTAGCCTCCTGATATCTCTGGACAGTGTATGTTTTCTCTTCCACCCCTTTTATACATCCTTTTTTTCTGCTTTGCAACAATAATTCATACATCTCATTCTCAGCAACACGTGGCCTCTTCAGATAGAACTCTGCTTTCCGAAGGTCAAGCAGACTCTTGTGAAAAAGAAGTACACTTTTTACATAATTTAAAAAGAGTACTTCTTATGGAAATAATGTATTTTAAAAGAATATACTTAAGTGTAAACTTAATGTAATGTTTTTGGACACTTAACTGAGTGTTAATTGCAATTAAATGAAAATGTATTATAGTTGAAAGCTGAACTTTTACCTTCGACTGAGTAATTTTTGACCCACTTAAGTAGGACTTCAGTACATCTTTATATGTAATTTCATAATTACTTCTATTGTCTTTATACATTGACTTAATGTACTTCTTTAAAGCACTTAAAACAATTATTTAAATATACTTTAAATGTAAAACTTTTAATTTGACATTTTTACAAAGTGCACTTTTTAAACGTGTACTTAAGTGTGTTAAGTAGCACAGTCATGAAAATGTCTCTCTTTATGTCACTTAAGTGGACTTTTATTTCATTAACAGGTTTTTGCAGGTTTTATCAAGATAAAATTAAGACTCTGAAAACATTTTTAAGACCAAGTAAAAAAATTAAGAAATATATTGAAGGAAACACAAAATAGTGATTATTTTAAAATTGATACACATTTACTTGAGAATCAAAATGGCATCAGATAAAAAGTCTTGTTAAGAATGAAATCGATTAAAATAAAGTGAGTTTATGATTTAAACAAGAACTCAAATTAAACATGCAAATGGGCCCAGAAAAAAAGTTTTCAAACCGCTACCGACATACATTTGTTCTTGTTTTAAGCATAAACTCATTTAAACTCATTTTTGTTCATTTTTAAAGACTTTTTACATTTGCATCTCAAGCAAATATATACCTTGAGTTTAAGGATGTTTAGAATTTTAGACATTTAGTGTTTTTTTATGCTACAAGTGCACATTCAATACAATGAAGCAGACTTCATTTTCACAAGAGGAGTTTAGGGAATATACTCCATGCATCCATAGTAGCCTAGAGCTACAAACACACACAAATATACTGTGTAAATGTTATATATCTTTCAAGCAGAGGCCTTTGGGCAAAACAAATATTTACTCTCACTCTTAGTAGTTTGTATAAATCACCACAAAACAGTCAATAAATAGCACACCATAAAATCTTAAATATAAATGTGAGATTTAAAATTTTCTGGAATGCAAACATTATAAAACATTTGTTGCCCACCTGCTCTGGGAGTGTCAATTGTTTGATTTTCGACTCCATACTGCAGGACCCTGCGTCTGGGAAAGTCTGTTTCTGGCCACGAAGACTTGATCTCTGTAATGACATGAGAAATGAATATATCACTACACCTTTCTCAACCAAATGTGTACAAAAGTTTACTTCTATATCTGCAAACTGTCACTGCAACAGTCAACAATGTCAATAAAAACATTTATGAATCCATCAGGTAAACCAAAAAAGGTATTTGCGAGCAAGTATACTTGAGTAAAGACATTCGGCACCAGAAGGCACTTCAAGCTCCACTACGTAAGCATGCGTCCTGACGCACATACTGTACAACCAGAACCATTTTGTTTAGTTTTCCCCTGGCAGCGAGAAAACACAACAGTGTGGCAAAGCTATGCAGCATCCTGTTCTGTTGTATTATACTGTATACAATACTGTGAGGATACAGTACGTCAAAGATGAAAACGTTTGTCGCACCGACACATATACAAGTTGCTTTTTAAAACGAATAATTTATCTGCCATAAATTAGTAGATTAATTATGTAGTTCTGTAATTCATGACAGATTTGACATCATCTGTCTCAAGCCAAATTTAACAACTGAAATCTGTTGTTTTGTGAGCTATGTGTATGTTTGGACAGCTTACCTAAAATAAAGCAATATTCTCTGAAATCATAATCGCATTGCATTTTGTTGATTTTGCTCAGCAGTGGATGCTCTGCAGTGAATGGGTGCCTTCAGAATGAGAGTCCAAACAGCTGATAAAAACATCACAATGATCCACAATAATCCACTCCAGTCCATCAGATGATGTCTTGAGAAGTGAAAAGCTGCATGTTTTTATAAAACCAAATCCACCATTAAGGCATTTCTAATCTTGGTTTCTGGCTAAACTACAAGTCCTCTAAACATAATATTGCTTTTTCCAGTGAAAAAGTAGTCTCGTGTGAATCAGGAGAGAAATATGCATGGAACAAGCACCATTTACAAGTCAAAACAGCCCAAAACTGTTTTGGTTTCAAATATGTGGGTGGATTGTGATGTGAGAGGACAGCATTGGATGAACTTTTTCACTGGAAGAAGCGATATTATGGATTATGAATTTTGCCAAAAGTGGCAGTTTAAAGTTAAAAGATGGATTTCTTTTCTCAAGATGTTAACTGCTGGACTGGAGTGGTGTGGATTACTTGTGGATTATTGTGATGTTTTTATCAGCTGTTTGGACTCTCATTCTGACGGCACCCATTCACTGCAGAGCATCCATTGCTGAGAAAGTGATGGAATGCTATGTTTCTTCAAATCCAAAATAAAGAAACAAACTCATCTACAGAAAACTCAGCATAAAAAAAATCACATGTGAATCTATGTTTTTCTTTTCTTGATCTCAAAGTTCAGCTTACGTTGTAAGCATTCAGATATTGTGTCTTTGCAAGCTTTCAGTCCGATAATTGTCTAAAAGCAGACTGGACATCTCATCATAATTTTGCCAGGTTCTATAGCCTGAACGATTTTATCAGTGAAGCCAGGTGATTAAGATTATTTCATTAAAAACTCAGAGGTGATTCTCACTAAAAAAAATCAAAGATTTCATTAACAGTTCATGTTAAAAATCTGTGATTTATGAGTTCAAATTGAGACAAAAGAGTGTGGCTTAAACTGCCTTCAGATTATGCCATTTCTAATGTGCTTATTACTCAGTTGTTCAAAGATTTTTGAAGATGTTCTCACCAACAAGCTTAAAAACTTTCTTATCAGACTGTCTCTCTTGCTCTCTTTATAGGGCATATTTTTCCAGCTTTCGTTTTGTGATGTTATATATGGGTAAAATCAGCTCCTCTGCTGCACTACCGTCCTCTGTCATCACAAAACATAAAAATGAAACAACTGATGCCACACACAAAGATCACGCTGGAACAGTTTGTTGTCGTGGATCAGTCTACTGTCAGTGGGTATAAACCTGTGGCTGTTCTTTATTCAACTAATCCAATTATACAAGTACACTTGAGCAGAATAATGTTTGTTTTTTCAACTTTTTCAAGACTATACTTGCAGATAATACTTATTTTCTGAATGTTATCATCCATAAGTTGTTTCGTATTTCGTAGTGCTTGATTCTACTTTGCTGCATGCTGCCCTGTCTATATAATATTCTTTTGCTGTTTCTACTAACTGTTGTCTGTCATCATTGTCTACCCTTCCAGTGTTATTTTTTCCTTGTTGCATACTTTGTAAAGCGTCCTTGAGCCTTGGCGCTATATAAATAAAACGTATTATTATTATATATTTATGAAATAAAAGACCACTTAAGTGACATAAAGAAAGATACTTTTGTTTCTTAACACATTTAAGTACACTTTTAAAAAGTGCACTTTGTAGTAATGTCACATTAAAAGTTTTACTTTAAAGTACATTTTAAACATTAGTTTTAATAATCATTTGTCATGCCTTAAAAAAGTACACTTGTTTTGATGTGTTGACTAACATACTAAATTACATGTAAAGCACATGATTATAATTGTAGTGTTTTTAAGTTAATATGGTTTAAATTGCAACTTCATCGTAACAAATATGCGATTGCAAATATATTGAAATAGATTTCATTTAGAAATGCCATAAAAAGACAACTTCAAAGACAACGGAAATAATTATGCAATTACATATCAAATGTACTCAAGTTCTACTTAAGTGAGTCAAAAAGCACTCTAAAGCTCAGCTAATTGCATTTAATTTTATATTTTTATATAATAAAATAATTTTTATTGCATTTAACATGCAACAAGTGTCCAAAAACATTACATTCAGTTTGCACTTTAGTATATTGTTTCCATAATAAGTACTCTTTTTAACAAGGATAATTTCTTGCTTGCCGTTGGTTCCTCCAATTATAATGTTAACACTGTGTTTACAAACGCATCTGCTGCAAATAATATGTTTGCAAACCAATATTCATTAGTATTTATAAACAGCCTCAAAAAAGCTCAAGCTCATATGCAAGGCTCATTTATTTTTGAGTGTTTCAAGAGATAAATACTTGATAAAGACAGCACCTCTGAGGTTCCCAAAACCACAAAAGAACTGATCTCTTAATATAACAATAATAAAACTATAGGAAGCATCTAATTATTGCTTTAACCCTTGGTAGGCGAATTTCTAGAATCAGGTTATTTTGGACACTTTTGAACCCTTAACGCAGCAATATAACTTGATTTAGGTAGGATACTTTATATAGATTGGTCTTTCTCTCTCTTCCTCTAAATAATGAACACTATATCATGTCATCTTCCTTCTCTTTGCAAAATCAGAAATATAGAGTTTCTGTTACTCAACTGGTAGAGCAGACACTACCAATGGCAAAGTCATGGGTTTGCATCAAGAAGGAAAATATTATATTCTATCCAACGTGGCATTCAACATGTCCATAATACAGCAGCAATTACATGTTAACTGCAATATATAGGCTTTATATATTACTATAGGTTAATTGCATGGAGAAACACCTTTCAGCGGTGCTGTGACGCAGGTGTGAAGAGGGTTTTACTAGAAGGAGAAGCCAGAAGAAGAAGAAGAATCATGTAAAATAGTAATTGCTGCTTTATGAAAACCATCTGTGTCCCTGGAGCACGAAACCAGTCTTAAGTCGCTGGGGTGTATTTGTAGCAATAGCCAACAATACATTGTATGGATCAAAATGATCAATTTTTCTTTTATGCCAAAAATCATTAGGATATTAAGTAAATATCATGTTTCATGAAGATATTTTGTAAATGTCCTACCGTAAATATATCAAAACTTAATTTTTGATTAGTAATATGCATTGCTAAGAACTTCATTTGGACAACTTTAAAGGAGGTTTTCTCAGCCAAATATGATATAATATATAATATCCTATCCTAACAAACCATACATCAATGGAAAGCTTATTTATTCGGCTTTCAGATGATTTATAAATCTCAATTTAAAAAAATGGACCCTTATGACTGGTTTTGTGTGGTCCAGGGTCACATTTTGGCTAAAGTATTAGGCTATTGTTATTTTTAATGTATAAAAAGACCAACAAACTATTTAAAATTCATTTATTTTATTTCATTAATGTTTATAAATCAGTATGCTCCTCTTCATTAGGAGCACAGATGCGGAGGCACACAAAAGAGATTCTTAAAAAAGTAAAAAAAACTAAAAATGCATGTCACGAACAGAAGGATGGCCAAGGGATGATGGCGTAACACTAATGAATGTTTTGTCTGTGGTTGTCCAAACCTGTCAGCTGCAGGACCTGTGCGAGCCACACCACCGTGAGAAACCCGACTCCACAGCAGCAGAAGCGCCTGGCGCTCCGCATCAGCGACTTCATCCCGCTCCGTCTGCTCCGCGCCTCGGACTCAGAACATGACCTCCGCAGATGCCTCCTGTTATAACTGCCTTCTGACTAAACTAAACTTTTGGGTTGCCTTGTTTTTCTTCATCACAGTCAACACTGCGCTGTTGCGAACTGTTTAAACGCATCGTTCCGCTAACCTGTCTTAGGTGCTCAGGTATCATCTGCTTCAAAGCGCGCAAATGCGCACATGCCATTGGATTTGGAGCGGTGGTTGTAAATGGTACACTCTCTCTCTCTCTCTCTCTCTCCGCTGCCACTTGAGGGCGGCTGTAATCGTGGACGACCAATAAAAAAACACTAGGAGGCGAAAGACTCAACCTCGTACAGTATGTCCCTATTGCTCAAATCTCTGAGTTTGATAAATCGGAACGGGTAGCGAAAATTGAATAAACAAGATGGTAAAGACAGTGAATCTTTTCAACATAATACTAATATATATTATACTAATTTATATATATATATATATAATTGAATGTGCTCTTATAGTGTAGTTCAAATCTCAAAAGTATATTTTTAAAATGAATTGAAATAAAAGGCCACTTAAGTGCACCTAAAGAGAAACACTTTTCTTAACACACTTAAGTGCACGTTTAAAGAGTGCAATTTGTAATAATGCTTTAAAGGTTTTAAGAATCTTTTGTTGTGCTTTAAAGAAGTGCACTTATTTTGATGAACATACATTTGGATTTTGAACATACTAAAGCACTTGATATTTCATTTAAAGTAAATATAGTTGTAATTTCTAAACTGCAACATCATCATTACAAATGAGTAATTACAAATAGCTATATTAAAATACATGACATACGAGTTTCAATAGAAATTATATTTAAGTATATTTTAGTTTATTATAAATGCTTGTCAGTACAAATTCAGCAGAACTTTAACCAGATATCAAAGACAATATAAGTTATTGAAAAATTACAAAAAAAAAAAGTGGGTCAAAAAAGTATTCTAAAGGAGTAGTTCACCCCAAAATGAAAATTTTGTCTCTCTCTCTCTCTCCGCTGCCACTTGAGGGCGGCTGTAATCGTGGACGACCAATAAAAAAACACTAGGAGGCGAAAGACTCAACCTCGTACAGTATGTCCCTATTGCTCAAATCTCTGAGTTTGATAAATCGGAACGGAGCGGTAGCGAAAATATATGGAATATATGTGACCCTGGACCACAAAACCAGTTTTCAAGGGTCAATTTTTTTGAAATTGAGATTTATACATCATCTGAAAGCTGAATAAAATTATAGCCTGTATATATATATATATATATATATATATATATATAATTGAATGTGCTCTTATAGTGTAGTTCAAATCTCAAAAGTATATTTTTAAAATGAATTGAAATAAAAGGCCACTTAAGTGCACCTAAAGAGAAACACTTTTCTTAACACACTTAAGTGCACGTTTAAAGAGTGCAATTTGTAATAATGCTTTAAAGGTTTTAAGAATCTTTTGTTGTGCTTTAAAGAAGTGCACTTATTTTGATGAACATACATTTGGATTTTGAACATACTAAAGCACTTGATATTTCATTTAAAGTAAATATAGTTGTAATTTCTAAACTGCAACATCATCATTACAAATGAGTAATTACAAATAGCTATATTAAAATACATGACATACGAGTTTCAATAGAAATTATATTTAAGTATATTTTAGTTTATTATAAATGCTTGTCAGTACAAATTCAGCAGAACTTTAACCAGATATCAAAGACAATATAAGTTATTGAAAAATTACAAAAAAAAAAAGTGGGTCAAAAAAGTATTCTAAAGGAGTAGTTCACCCCAAAATGAAAATTTTGTCATCATTTACTCACCGCCATGCTGTTCCAAACCTGAATAAGTTTCTTTATTATGCTGAACACAAAAGAAGATATTCTGAAGAACCAACCAGTTGTTGGTCCCCATTGACTTCCATAGGGAAAGAAATACTATGGAAGTCAATGGGGACCATCAACTGTTTGATTAGCGTTCTTCAAAATATCTTCTTTTATGTTTAACATAAGAAAGAAACTCATACAGGTTTGGAAGGACATGAGGGTGAGTAAATGATGACAAAATGTTCATTATGGGTGAACTATTCCTTAACTAATTGCATTTAGTATAAATTTGAACTAAAGCATTTTCATTTAATTGCTATGTTCTAAAAATTCATTAAATTACTATGATATGTAATTGTCTTAAAATATTACATTCAGTAGCTAAGTAAAGACTTCTGAAGTATACTATTATTAATATCTTAGAACATAGTATAAAAGAGGTGTACTTATTTTACAAGGGTGTCCTACCAGTAGGTGCAACCCAAACTTTGACCGGTACTGTATAGCTATATTTGAGGCAATAGCTTTCACATGTTCAAAATATTGCTAATACCTTTAGGAATCCTTATATCTTTGCGGCTGCCACCTTCATTTAGTTTCTGCATATTTAAATTTGTTACAACAATGATACACTGGAGAGCCAGTGGCCAAGTAACATTATTAAGAAAACAAAACCAAACTGTCAAATACACTAGCATATGTCCTGAAAGATAATTGACAGAAAAACACTTTATGATTTTCACCACCATGTGGCGATGTTTACTGTGTTTATTTGCTCTTGGCTTACTTCAACTCCTCACTGAAGAATGTATGTGATAAGATATGTGATATGTAATATTTTGGTCCTGGGATTTTTAATGACCACAGAGAGTCAGGACTTCAGTTTAACGCCTCATTCGAACAACGGTGTTTGTTGACTTGTTGCTTGTTGCTTTTGACGCTGGCCTTCACTACGTCATCGACAAAGACTTTTGTATATACCAAGATGATGCGCTTATATTATGAAATTATGAATAGGTAATTGGTAAAGTCATTGCATCATTGCAGCTTCCGTTAGAAGCTCTGAAGTCCTGAGATGCACACTTAGGCCCAATCCCAATTCTATTTTATACCCCTTCCCCTTCCCCTCCGCCTACCCATTCCCCTTGTCCCTTGAAACAGAGTGTCAAGGGGTAGGGGTGAAAATATTCCCCTAAGAATTGGGACACCACTACTCTGACGTCACACGTCATCATACGTCGTCTAGCTCCTACAATACACACACCTATACTGGTGTGCATTAGAGCCTTTAATTACCGTTCTATATTAATGTGCTGCTTACTGACACACACACACACACACACACACACATATATATCGGAGCTCACGCATCTCACACATCCAGGAGAAAAGAAACTTGTCAACGCTACCCCACGACTTTTATTAATATCAGTTTAAATACTGAATTGCTACATTATATTTTCTGAATCGAGACCCCTACCCCTTCACGTGAACGCGCGAAACGGAGGGGTAGGGGAAAGGGGAAGGGCTAAGGGGTAGAATTGGGATTGGGCCTTAGGACTGTGCTTTCGCTGGACCAACGTGATCAAATGCTATTTGAGCATAAGTAACAACATTTCTGACAGGGCCACTCTCATCAAAGATGATTGACAATTAGCATACAGTTTGGATTGGTGGTATGGTTCTGTTCTGGGCAAAAACTCCCTGCCCATCCATGCAGCCTAGCATGGATAAGACCAGAGAGAGCAGTGATAACCCCCCTAGGGTAAACAGAACAGAAGCAAATGTAGCAGATATCATTAACATTCTTAATGACATTTTAATGTAACACCATAATTCAAGATAAAGGACTCTGATTCAACACGGAAGAACAGAAGGCCAAATCCTGACTGTGGACGAAAGGAGGAGCTGGGGATGGAGGAGGGTAATTAGCTCCTGATCAAAGCGATAAAGCGTCATTTTCCTATAGGTAGACGTGATAATGTGAGAAATGTTGAAGGTGTCTGAATAAATTTTGGTTTGACTGTATCTATTTGATAAATGAAGTTAACCAACTAACGTTATACATACCCTTTTGGTTTCTGTACCCAATATTTAAAAAATGTACAAATGCAATAAAAATATCGGTATCGGTATCGGCAAGTACCAAAAATAAAAGTATCGGTATCGGGCGAGTACTGGAAAAAGTGGTATCGGTGCATCCCTAGTAGACATGGATCAGCTGATGCAAGCTTGACTGACGTGACCTGCCAGAATTAGCTCTATGCTTGATTAATGGGGCAGTTCATGTTCATCTGGGGATGTACTCCATGGTCGTAACAGGAAGCACAGGAAACTCATGGATGGCGGACAGTGGAAAGGTTTCGCTGCAGGGTTCAGACTGGGCTCTGGGCTGCTCTGGTGGGAGTTCACTGGTGTTAGTGATGACAACCTTGGGACTATAGCAAGGATGCCTATCCCTCTTTCCTCCTCCTTCCTTTAGTGGTCCGTGGGTGGTGGGTGCTGCCTCCAGATAGAGGTGCAGTCTCCGTTAAGTGAGAGCGGATCTTACACAGTACATCCACAGTGAATGACTCAGAAGCAAGGACAAAATCAATGAAACTTTTAAGTACACTCAATTTGGTCTCAAGGCAGGCTTGTTAAGTCCATGCTTAAAAATATCTTTGAGAGTAGTTTTATTAAAGTCAACCACATTCGGTGTTCAATTCACATAGAAGGCGTAAATAAATAAATACACTCACTTTGTCATAAAAGCGCTGCCTCTTGAAATTATGAGAGCTATATTTAGGGTTCTGTATATTCTTGAGTTCTGTGTCTGTAAGTAACATTGTAATGTAAAGTGACCAGATTTCTGAAATGGACATTTCCTAGTTTAGTGGTCAAAAGAACATTGACATTTCACTGGTTGTTTTATCTATGAATTAAAAAACAATGGGGACAATACATTTTCACAACAATTGCTATTCATTATTATTATAATTAATGATTATATTATATTCATATTGTATAATGATGAAGCCCTGAGCGTTTTAATAAAAGTCTCCAAAAATCACACTAAAAAAATTGTAGACCTAACCATTGCAAACAGACAAACAAACAAAATTATGACTTTACAAAAACACATTACAAAAATAAAACAAAATGTATTTAACATATTTTCAGACTTTTTTTTTTTATCACAAACTGTGAATATACTGTTTCAAGTTATTTTTGTAACTTATAAAATGTTATGTGCTATTGAAAATGGATCAATAAAAATGAGAAATAAATGCATAGAGCAATAAAATAAATGTAAATTAAAAATATTTCTATGTGCATTCTACCAATT